CCCAATCTAAAGCCAAGAATTGGGATTTGGTTATGCTTAACTTCCCCACAGTCTGGAAGATACAGCAGACTGGGGATGTCTGGGTTCAAGTCGAACTCTAGTGATAATTTTTCTAGGGAAAAGAGAGAAGAACTTGGACCTATGATTTCATTGGTTAAGGATCTCCCAGTGTTGAAATTCTCTTCACCAATGCAGAGAAGGAACTTTTTTGTAACTTTTGGTCCTAGGAGGTTGCCTGGGGGCACTAAGAGATTAAGCAGTGTGTCTCACTATACCGTATTGAATTTCTTATGATAATGTTAATAAGAACTGTTATTATTATGGTTATTGTTATTTGTGAATAGTAAATATATATAATATGTTTCATAATATATTATTTTAATATAATAGTACAGGGCAAATATATTGTTGTGTTCATTATTATTTGAGTGACTGAAACTCGCTTATCTGTAAAATGGATGGGCTGAATAAGATCATATGACCTCTGATGTCTCTTCCAGCTCTAGAAATAGGATCCTATGGTCTGAGCATTTGTATAGCCCATCTGAGTAGTTTTATTTTCTTTTTTTTTGCATTTGAGTATAAAGGAATGGGGTGGGAAGAGGGGGAGGGGTTACTCACAGCCACTCTGCAGCCCTGGTCTGAACTAGCCTCTTCTTTCTTTGAACTTACCTATGCTGTGACATGTCCCCAGATTAGGACAAAAGGTCAGGACCCAGGCTGACAATGTCACTGACATGAATGTGTCTTCATCACATCCTTCATGTCTGATCTATATCTGGCCACTGGACCCAGATGGTTCTGGAGGAGAAAGTGAGGCTGATGACTTTGCACAGCTCTCCCTCACTTAAACCCAATTCACCTGCATGTTGTGGCATCACCTCCCTAATGTCATGGTCCTCTTTGAGAGTGAAGGACAAACAACAACAACAACATGTTGCTATCAGTAAACTATAATTAGCTAATTTCCTTGAGGTGACCCCTCCCTTGAACCTATATAGCAAAGTCTCTCTCCCTTGAATCTATGGAGGAGCCATTGCAGATGGAGAGAGAGGGAACAGTGCTCCCAGGTGTGTTCAGAGGTATGAACACCTGTCAAGTGGCGAGACATCATGGGAAAGCTAGGCTTAGGGTCAAGATAACCTGGGTTCTGGTCCTAGATCAGCCACCAATTCGTTTGAATAAGTCATGTCTTCTCTTTGGGCCTTTTCTCTTCTGTAAAATGAGGATGTTGGGTCTACTGTGGCCCATCAGGTTCCTCCTGACTCTGATATTCTTGGGTCTGTGTTTTAAATCAGGCAAGAACATTCTTTACCCCACCTCGAACCCTTAGGACCTCTCTTCCTGAAGGTGCCTGTTGAGTTGGCCGGCAGTCTCCTGCCTTTCCATTCTTGGCGTAGGTTACTTGGTAGGAAGAGCTGAGAACAGTCTAGGGCAGAGGTATGGTCTTGCAGGTGCTTCATTTCATATCTGGTCTCTCAGATCAATCAATAAACCTCTATTAAGCACCTACTATGTGCCAAGCACTGTGCTTTCAACATTTTGCTTTCCTCCTCAGAATCACCTAGCCTCCAGATGCCTCTTTAGCCCCTGTCTGCTAGGAAGATGGTAAGCTGGGGACCAACCTTACCCCAGACCCCTCACTCTGTCCCTGTCCCTTATCTAGCACTCCAGGGCCCCCTGAAAGAGACAGAACAAGATGGTAGGGAGGATTGGCACCAGAACAGTCCATCTAGCAGTCTCCCATGGGGGAAAGCCTTGATTTGAGGTCTGGGGGGTCTCTCAGTTACCTCCAAGGGTTGTTGCAGGGATCAAGTGAGGTAATATCTGTAAAATGCTTAGCACAATGCCTGGCACATAGTAGGTGCTTAATAAATGCTCATTCCCTTCCTTTCCTTTCTCCTCAGCTCAATCAGAAATGTGAAATGGAAAAAGCAAAACAAATCTAGAAAAGGCTCCAAGATATCAGTCAGTGTAGACAGAGGGAGCGATGAAAGGTAGCAGACTGGGCCTGGTGAGAGAGGTGAAACATCAGGGCTAAGAACACCAGCCTTTGACTACCTTGCTCCAACAACTCCCTTCTTCCAAAGTTCCTTAGTGATAACACCTGAGGCTCATCTTCCCTCAGTGGCTCTATGGGCCCTGGACAGTAAGTGTTTGCTGACTGACTGCTGGAGATGCCTCCAGAAAACACTTTTCAGTCTTCATTGAGGGGAAGTGGCATCAGTTTGAACATGAAGAGATCCAGCTTCTGCTGCTATCCTGGGCAAATTGCTTCTCCTCTGGGCCTCAGTTACCTTGTCTGTAAAATGGGGGGGGGATGGACTAATTAATGAGTGACATTTCCAGAGCACTTGGAAGGTTTTTGAGGAACTTGACCTATAGTATGTTACCACATTTTAGCCTCACAATAGCACTGTGAGGTAAATGCCATTGAGATCGTTATCCCCATTTTACAGATGATGAATATGAAGCTCAGAAGTTAAATTTCATGGTTGTATAGATTCAGAACTAAAAGAGACCTCAGAAGTCATCTGGTTCGTTTTACAGATGAGGAAACTGAGGCCATAGAGGTTAAGTGATTTGCCTAAGGACAGGAAGCTCTGACTCCAGACCCAATATTCTTTTCCATTGTGTAGCACTACTTTAATAGTGGGGGCAGCTGGGTAGCACAGTGGATAGAGTGCCAGGCCCCGAGTTAGGAAGACAAATTCAAACCCAGCCTCAGACACTCACTACCTGTGTCACTCTGGGCAAGTCACTTTCACCCTGCTTGCCTCAGTTTCCTCTTCTGAAAAATGAACCAGAGAAGGAAATGGCAAACCACTCCAGTATCTTTGCCAAGAAAACCCCAAAACCTCAAATGGGGCCATGAAGAGTTGGATTCAGCTGAAATGACTGAATAACAGCAATGACAACAAAATGTGATTAGTCACACAAGTAAATATGAGAGGCAGAATTAAAACTGAAGTCCTCCTTGACTCCAAGGCTAGTGGCTCTTCTCGCTCCGACAGGCTACAATGCCAAAGACCTGTCTATGTTAGATGGAAGTAAGGACAGGCAACAGAAAGTGGATACAAAGCAGCTGTACGAGAGATATGTCAGGGAGTGTTCAAGCTCAGAATGAGGCAAGACCAGTAATGAGGAAAAGGGGCTTTTTTAGTTATGATGGATGCAAAGACCCAAGAAGGAACTGAACTGTAGCTTGGGGTGGATGAGACACTGATAAAGGATGACAAAAAGAAGGCAGAATGACCCAACTCCTATTTTGCTTCTTTTTTCCTTGTCAAGGATAATGACCTTTGGACTGAGAATGATAGAATAAAAAATGTCTGTCCAGATAAAGAAACAGATGAACAAGATGGGGGAGCAGATAAGGAAGGGAGGGAGAGAGGGAAGGAAAAGGGGAAAGAAAAAGGAGGAAAGGAAGGGAGGGAGGGAAGGAAGGAGGAAGGTAAAGAAGGAGGAAAGGGAGGGAATGAAGAAGGAGGGGAGGGAGGGAGGAATAAAGAAGGAGGAGAGAGAGGGAAGGAAGGAAGTAGGAAAAGAAGTAGGAGAAAAGGGATGGAGAGAGGGGAGGAAGGGAAAGAAACAAGAAGAAAGGGAGGAAGGAAAGGAAAAAGGAGGAAAGGAAGGGAGGGAAACAAGCATTTATTAAGTGCTTACTATGTGCCTTGTATTGTGCTAAGCCCTGCAGTTAACAAATACAAGCAAACAGAAAGTCCCTATCTCAAGGAGCTTATCTTTTAATGAGGGAAGATGACACGCAGGAGGGAGCTGAAAAGGTGGGGGGGAGCGGGATGGAGTGTGAAGATGAAGGTACTCGGCATGGAAATATGATTTCTAAGTCCAAAGGAAAACAGAAACAGGGCCAGGAATAGAATGAAAAGAAGATTCCTAGCTTCTCTTAATGAGTTCATCCCACACATCTGGACAAACTGCATTCCTAAGCACTGAAAGAATGGATGGATATGATGGCTGAGCTACTGCCAATGATCTCTGCAAGACTGAGGGAAAAGGCAGAGGGGAATCAGGACTGCAGATGGCACACATTGTACCAGTTGTCAAAGAAGATGTGAATGAAGTGAAAAACATAGTCTGGTGAGCTTAATTTGGAGTCCTGGGCAAATTTTAGAATGTGTTATCAAAGGGATGGGTTGAGAGGGAAACTGCTTGCCAAGAGCCAGAGTGGCTTCATCAAGAACATACCCACAGCAGACCAACCCGCCATCCTTTTCTGGAAGATAGATCTGTCAGACCAAGGGAATATTAAAGGCAGAGATTTCTGCAAAACTTTTTAGCAAAGCCTCTCTTGCTCTTCTCGTGAACATGATGGAGAAGTGTGGGTTAGATAATAGCATAATTAGGCATAATTAATTTAGAACTGGTTGAATGACCGAACCCACATTCTTATCAATGATTGGATGAAGGCAAGACTGGTGTGCTCCTTCAGTTTATAAATGACGCAGAGTTGGAAGGGAAAGATCACAACATATGTTGGACAACAGACAAATTATCCAAAGTGATTTTGACAGGCCAGAATAATGGCCTGAATTTAATCACGTGAAATTTTTCAAAATGTAAAAATATTGAACCCTACGCATGGGTTCAAAAAAATCAATTGAGCAAGTATGGGATAGGAATGTATAGCTGGACCACAGCTCATGTAAAGATTTGGAGATTCTAGTGAACCATAAGTTCAATAAGTCAACAGCTCAATATGGTGGACAAAAAAGCTGATGTGATCTTAGACTACATTAAGAGGCAGAGAGTCTAGAATGAGGAAGTTGAGAATGTTTTTGCCAGTCTGCAACATAGTTACCACATTTTAGGAAAAGACTGAAAATCATGTCACATGAGGATTAATTGTCCACTCATACAGTAAGGCCTTAGAAAAGGCCAGAGGTGGGGCAAAGAGCACAGGATGGGGAAGTGGGAATGACATAAAGCTCAAGGCAAAGTTTACATTTTTCCAAGCCCTGCAAGTACCCTCTCCTCACCTTGGGGTCACCATTTGGATGGAGGTGAGCTCCTGAGCATGCTCCCTTTACTACCTGTCAGGCAGGATAAAGAGGAGAGAGGTCAATAATGATGCTTTGGGGGCAACTAAAGAAAGCCTGAAGTTGGACAAATCATGCAGTGTCCTCTATAGGTGAAAAAAACCTCTGTCTTACTTGAAGTCTTTTCCGCAGCTAGTGGAGAGAAGCTTGCACCAAGTCGTATAATTTCCTTCCCTTTGTCTTTCGACCTCAGACGATGGCCTTTATCCCCATGGCAACTCCTCAAAGCAGGGGTCAGGTTCTTTCCCAGCTGTGCCCTCCCACTTACTGGCACTTTCCCACAAAAGTGAGTGTCTGGCTACCTTTGCAAAATGCACAGTCATCTTCCCCAGGGTTTCTAGAGCCTGCAAGGGAGCTAGCTCAAGACAGGCACTATTGCTTCACTAAGTCTCCAGCTTCAGACACCCTGTGTGGACAGGTGGGCCTATGGCTAATAATCAATGAGTATGTGTGTGCTGGCGGGGAGGGCTAGGGAGAGGAGTAGGTAGTGACCCAATGACTTGGGTAACGAAACCACCTGGTTTCACCTCTTTGATATACACTCTCTCCTACTGTGCCTGTGACTGCTCAGACCAGGCATAGAAAACCACTAGGTAACTGATAGGATAACTTGATAAGCACTTGTCTGACTCTCCTCAGCCACTTGCTGGAGGGAGTGCTGGGGGCAGAGAGGGGCACTGACCATTTGTCTTCAAACATCTGGCCACTGCCTCCCTAGGCACTGCTCCAGTGCCAGACCTGTGCAACCTAAGCTATGCCACCAGACTATGCCACCAGCTCATGGCTTTTCTCGAAGTAGAGAGTTTCCCATCACTGCCGGTGTTCAGGCAGAGTCCAGAGGACCATTGTCAAGAATGCTGTAGAAGACAACAGTCTGGTATTGTGGAAAAAAAACAACAACCCTGAACTAAAAGAAGTCAAAAATCATGAATATAAATCCCCGTCTGACCTGTTGTTTACCAGCCATGATGCTCTGGGTAAGTCACTTCTCTGAGGCTCAGTTTACCCATATGTGAAATTGAGGATACCCGCCTCATCTAGATCACAGTTTTTATGTATGACTCCAGCTAAATTCTGGCCATGAAAGCACAAGAAATGAAGGCATTATTATAACAACTGCTCACATTTCTATAGTGCTTTCAGGTTTATAAAGTGCTATGCTCATAAAGAGCCTGTGAGGGAGCCAGTGCAAATATTACTATTCCCATTTTGGAGATGAGAAAACTGAGGTTCAGGGCTGAAGTGACTAATTCTGTAGAGAGGAGATAAGCACCCAGAATGCTTTGTGCAGAGCAGCGTTCTGGAGGCTAAATCATTAGAACAGCTGACTTTCTCGGAGCACTTTGAAGGTTTACAGTGACTCACAGCTAGTAAGGGTCAGAGTCAGAATTTGGACCCGTTTCTCCTGCCTGGAAGCCTGCTTTGCTTTCCTTGTACCACACAGCTCCTCTGACAGAGTGTTTCTGTGCACGAAGAGGGAGGGAGTGGGGGCAGGGGCAGATGAAATTACTTCTGAGGTCCTTTCTAACCCTAAGATTCTACACTCTGAGAGTCACCACATCCTCTGTGCTCAAGACCAAGCCTCTCCCACAGACTTCTGAGGAGAGATGGGTCTGCAGAGGTAACTTCCTGGCTGAGAAATGAGGGTGGGAAGAAGGCAGAAGGGTAGGTTGAGGCACCTTATGTTGCAAGCTTCTCACCTTCCTAGAGCTCAATCGCTCTCTCTCTCATCTTTCCTTTTGTCTCTGTCTCTCTATCACTGCCTGTTTGCTGTCTCTCTGTTTCTCTCTGTCTCTTTCTGTTTCTCTCTTTACCTTTCTTTCTCTTTCTGCTGTCTCTCTTTCTCTGTCTCTACTGTCTCTGATGTCTCTGTCTCTGCCATCTCCCTTTCTGTGTCTGTCTTTATCTTTAGCAGTCTCTCTGTTTCTGTCTTTCTTTCTGCTATCTGTGTGTCTGTTTTTGCATCTGTTGTCTGCTGTCTCTCTCTGTGTGTCTCTGTCTCTCTCTCCCTGTCTCTCTCTGGGTCTCTCTTTCTCTCAATCTCTCTGTGTCTGTCTCCCTCTGTCTCTCTCTCTCTCTGGACCTTTACAAAATATACAGTCATTTTCCCCAGAGGTTCTGGAGTCTACAAAGGAGTCAGCTCAGGGTAGCTACCTTAGGGATACTTTAAGAGTCTCCCCGTACCCTCCACCCCCCTATTTTCAAGTATTGGAGCAATTTTCAACTTATGAAGACAAAGGACCGTCTGACCATTTGGAATGCCAGAGTCCCTTAGCCTTATGCTCCCTTTCCACTGAGGAAGAAACCAGTCCTCACTGAGGCCAAGTGACCTGGCCAAACCCATGTGGCCAGTATGCAGCAGAGTTCTGACTTGAACCCAGGTTGCCAGATGTCGGATCAGCACTCGTCACTGTTCTACAGGCTCAGCACCTTGCACCATCCTCAGGCACCTACCAAGGGTGGCTCTCAAACTCTTCCCTCATTGGACAGATCAAATTAGCACCTGTCCTGAAGCTGTACTGTAATGGTAGGTACAGGTCCTGGGTTCAAGGTCCATGTCTGACCACTTAGGAGCTTTTATGCCCCGGACAAGTCACTGGACCTCACTTAACCTAAGTTTTCTTATCCTCTCTAAGCCTCTCTCCTTATCTGCAAATTTAAGATAATTATATTTGCACTGAGAGGCAACATGGCCTACCATAGAGAGCTAGCCTCCCAGTCTGAAAGACTTGGGTTCAATTACTACCTTTGACAAATAATTGGCTGTGTGACTCTGGGCCAGTCACTTGTGCCTCAGGCAATTGCCTAAGACTGGAAGTTGCAGAGAAAGGCATCAATGTGCATTAGCAGAAGGAAGTCCTTATCAGGAAGTAGCCATATACACTAACAAAATTGCAAGTTTTAAAAAAATGTGTGTGTGTGTGTGTGTGTGTGTGTGTGTGTGTGTGTTTATACTAACCTGCCACTCCATTTCAAGGAAAATGCATGGTAAACAGGTGTTCTATTACATAGGAGCTGCTATTCTCACTTGTGATTTTGTAAGAGTTTTCAAGTCTTTTTTTTTTCTGGGCACGCCCGTATGTCCTTTAATTGTTTAGCAAATACACCACAGCTCTTCCATCTACATGAGACTGGAGTCTTCAAAGTAGTCACTCTGTGGAGTTAGGCACTTATTCCTGTAATACTACTTTTGTTCTAAATTCTTTGGAAATTGCTTTCAGGAATGCAGTCTTTGGAAGAACCTCATTGGTGGCCAACCTGCGTTCTTAGGGAATGTTTGTGATTTTTGGAATCAGTCATAAAGTCCTTCTATGAATTATAGAATACCAAATGTTGGACCTTGGAGGAAAGGTAGCCATCACCTGGTCCAGGGGTGGGGAACCTTCTGCCTTGAGGCCATATGTGGTCCTCTAGGTCGCAGGCTCCCCACCCCTGATCTTATTGTATATAAGAAGAAACTGAGGTAGAGTCAAGTCTGGTGAACAAGGTGGGTGGCCACACTGCAGAATGCCATTTTTAGTCAAAACTGAGGCATAATTCTAAAGCAGTGAGGCAGATTTCCTTGTGAGGCCCATCATCTCCCACTACCTTCCTTTATGAATCCTATAATCCAGACACTAGACTACTACTCCAAATGTGCTCTAATGTTTCTTTCCTTTGCCTGAAACACCCATCCCCCCAGCACAGGCTCTGCCTGTTGAAATCCCGTCCAACCTTCAAGGCTCAGTTCAAAAAGCCCACCTTTTTCATCAAGCTTTCCCTGATTCCCCTCAGCTAGAAGTGATGCTCTCTTCCCTACTGGCTTTGAAGTTAGAAAGCTATGTTTTAAAAACCAGCATTTCTACTTATAACATGTAAGACTTTGGACAAGTCATTTAACCTCTCTGGGCCTCAGTTTCCTCATTTGTTAAATGTCGGACTACATGAACTCAAAGGGTCAATTCTAGCTCCAAATCCTATGATGCCCCCTGGCACCTCAGAATTTTGCAAGGTGTCATTTATCAGTCTTTGCCTTTATTACAGTTATATGTCTGCCATTTTGTGCCCCACATTGAACTAATAATACGTCTTTTTCATCTGTCTCCACCTCAGCTCTTAGCCCAGGGCCAGGCACCCAAGAGTGAATGTTGAATGAATGAATGGAGTAGACCCCGTGTGAGTTAGCCATCACTTTCTTTTAGCATGGGTGCCCAGTAAGTGCTTATCACATGATCTGTGTTGCTCCTCTACTTTCTGGAAACATCCTTAGCAATCATCTCAGCCAAGCCCAAGCTCCTAATTAAGAAGGGACCTGGCTATTGTGATCCAGAGAAGAGAAAATGAGTATGAGTTGGATTTGCCTCAGTTAAGAACAAAGCTAGTGACTCTCAGGCCTACTGGAAATAGCGCTGGACATTAAGCCAGGGAAATTTGATTCAAATCTCACCTCTGATGTCTAGATATGTGAGACCTGGGGCAAATCACTTAGCCTCCCTAGGCATTAGTCTCCTTATCTGTAAATAAGAGGGTTGGAATAGAATACCTCTAAAGTTCCTTCTAGTTCTAGATCTGTGAGGCTATGGCCCTGGTAGAAGACCCCATTCCCCCACTGCCTGCTTCTTTCTTCCAACTTCCTTCTGATTTCAAAAGTTCAGCTACTAGCTTCTCAGCCCTTCTCTGACGAAGTCTCAGTGTATAGGTCCCCCTCCCCACTTCTGACCATACACTTGACCTTCCTTATAGCCCCACTAAGAGAAAGGGCTTTATCTTCTCTCCTAATGGCACATTGTAGGCACTTTATAAATGTTTGCCGATTGACTGATAATTGACTCAAGCTTTTTTTTTTTAAGAGCTCAAAAAGACCTTGGAAATTATCTAGTTCAGTGGTACTTAACCTTTTTTTTGTGATCTGAACCCTTCTAGCAGTCTGGGAAAGCCTATGGATTCCTTCTTAAAATATTTTAAATGCACAAAACAAAATCCATAAGATTACAAAGGAAACCAATTCTGTTGAAATGAAAGTGAAAGTTTTTTCTTCTTATCCAAGTTCACAGACTTCCTCCCTGCCTTAAAAATCTATTCACCAAGTCCAGGGGGTTCATGGAAGCCAGGTTAAGGATCCTTGATCAAATTCAACATTCTCATCCACTAAGCCAACAGCTGCCCTTTCTATCTGGTCAGATGTGGGCAGGATAGACTTCACAGAAAAGACACCTACTAGTGCAGTTTTCAGGTAAGGCCAGGCTTTCCCCAAAAAATCTCTCCCACAGATTTAAACAGTCTAAAGAGTCTACCATTGCCATCTTCCCTCCTTAGGATTAAGGCACAGAAGGTCTGTGATAATATTTTCCTTTGTTCCTTGGGAAGGAAAGAAACAAACAGCCAGGCATGACCATTTGATAGGTAATGGGACCGAAGTCTAGAGAGGGCCCAGGATTTGTCCAAGGTCCTCAGACTGCTCCTTCCCCAGGCCTCACCCCAGAGCTTCACACCCCACTCCACCAGACCAGCTTGCCCAGCTCTCAGACCAGCGGCAGATTTAGAAATGCCTCCTCCTAAATTTGGGCCTCAGGCATCTTCAGAGACCATCCAGCCCTAAAGAACTGCTAGACTGAGCAATGAAGGACACAGATTTAGCATTTCTTCTGCAGAAAGTGCTGCCTTGAACCCAATTAAGGCACAGCATATAGAACAGGAAATCATTCTGGAAACTGAGATCTGGCCCTCAGCCTGACTCATGTTTTGCTCAGCTGGGCCCATTATGCGCATGATGGCATTTCTATGGGAATATCATGTAAGTGCTCACCCAACCCTGGTAGCTGGTGGGTGAACACCTTGCAGATGACTTCCTTTCCTCCTTTTCCTTTTCCTCCCCTATGTGTAGCCCAGGCTCTGCTTTTGGAAGTCCAAAGCAGGAAGGAGGAGTATAGGGACCCTCTCGGCCAATGGGACTGGCAGAGCCAATGGAAGGAGCATGAAGTGGGTGAAGTTTGTCTTTAGTCTTCTTGGCCACAGCCTACTCACTCCCTCTAATCAGGCATCCAGGGCCTCTCTGCTATCCTTGGTCACCTAAATATTGTGTGCCCAAGCCCACCCCCAACCCCCCACTCTCCAGAAGATCCCCTGGTCCTTTTCCTCATCATGCCAGCCCATCTGGGAAACTAATTCATGCTAAGAACAAGCCTGGATGTTTACTTCCTTCCCAAGAAGCATAAGTAAATGTCATCTGGGACCTCCCCTGCCTCAAGTCCAAGTTGTGAAGGTGGGAATTGGCAGAAGACTCAGGCCTGGGGCAGAGGGTTGGGGAAAAGATATTTTTTGGAAAGAGTGGCCTTGCTTGAAATCCAAACCAGTAGATATCCTCTTGAGGCCTATCCTGCCCACATCTGGCCAGATGCTAATGGCAGCTGGTAGCTCAGTGGATAGAACATTTGAGTTTGAATCTGGAAGACTTTCAATATTTATTTTCTCAAATCTCTCCCCCAATCCAATCCATCTTCCAATCAGCTGCCAAAGTCATTTTCCTAGAGCATGTGTCTGATCATATCATTTCCCAGCCCCCTCCCATATTCTCACACACACCCACACACACACACACCCACACATACACACTCAATAAGCTACAGTGGCTCCCTATTACCTCGAAGAACAAAAATAAAACCCTCTATTTGCATTTGAAGCCCTTCCCAACTGGCCTCTGTGTATACCTTTCCAGACTTTTCATACTTTCTGACCCTCTGTGAACTCACCAGCCTCCTTACTGTCCCTCGAACACAGCCTCCATCTCCATCCACACTCTGACAATTTCATTGACTCATCTCTTTGCCTGGAATGCCCCCCCCTTTTTTTCTTAGGCAGTTGGGGTTAAGTGACTTGCCTAGGGTCACACAGCTAGTAAGTGTCAAGTGTTTAGTCTGAGGCTGGATTTGAACTCAGGTCCTCCTGACTTCATGGCCGGTGTTCTATCCACTGCTGCCACTTAGCTGCCCCCAGAATGCCCCCTCTCTTCACCTCTGCCTCCTGGGTATCCCAACTTCCTTCAACACTCAGCTCAAAGCCAATGCCCCCCTCCCCAGTACCTTTTCCAATAAGATCACCTATCATTTATACTGTGTATATTCAGCAAGCACAGTTATTTTCATATCATCTCCCTCGTTAGAATGTAGACTCTTTGAGGGCAAGGACTGTGTTTTTGCCTTTATAAGCTTACCTAGCACTTAGCATCATGCCCAGCACATAGTAAACACGTAAGAAATGCTTGTTGACTGACTAAATGTGTCACTCTGGGTGAGTCACTTTATGTCTCCCTGCCTCAGTGTCCTTCCTGTGGGATAACAACAACACTGACTTCACAGGATTGTCTTAAGGATCGGATGAGTGCTAAATGTTAGCTATGGCACCTGTGCTTCTTCCTTGCCCTGGGGTATGGGGGGGGGGGGCCTTGGTGGATAGGGAGGGAAAGTTTCCACCAAGATCTGCCCCATCTAAGGCACAGCTTCATTCACTCTAATGGGTTGGGCTGAAGGTCAGACCCAACCCATGAATATAGGTTTCTGGGAGGACAGGATGGCAGTCCCAGCAGTCCTGTAGCCTGAGGGAGGGAACAGCTTCCACCATGGGGCCTCAGCCATAGCCCCAAGCCCTCTCCTGCTAATTCCACTCTGGTCCCACAAGGTGGGAAGGCTGGGGGGAGGCGCCTGAGGAGGCCCAAGAAAGGGAAGGCAGAGTCTGCTCCTCAGGAGATGTCAAAGAAAAGGATAGAAACTAGTTTATAGTAGGAAGAAGCCTGGCTTGGGAGTCAGGACAATGGGGTTCTAGTCCAGCTCTGCCTCTGTGTCTTCCCCTCTAGTCCTCAGCTGCCTCATCCACAGCATAAGAAGGCTGGACTAGGTAACCTCTAAAGTCTCTTCCAGTTTTGACATTCTGTGATTGTGTGACTTGGGGAAAGCCCATGGAGGCAAGGGGAGAAACTCAAGGGGAAAGGTCTTGCCTCAAGAGCCTTTTCATTCAGCCTGTTATTTTCCATTAGTGGCTTCTGGGCTCTTGCTACCACCCCCTACCCCTCCAGGGGAGCTCATCATGCAGAACAAAGCCATTCCTCCCACCAGCTCCTGGCTCCTGGAAAGTGTTTCTGTTTTCTTTTCTGACAACATTATCTGTATCTCTGAGTCACCAGTACCTTAAAGTCACCCTCATGAGCTGAATACAGGGGCTGAAAGAAGGGCGCGGGGTTGGGTACTAGCACCCACATCTTCTTCCACAGCCTGAAACGTCAGAGAGAGAAACAGACAAAACAAAACAACAAAACAAAACCAGGGTCAGGGGTGTTAGAGGATGGGGTGGGCCTATGGCAGATTGGTTAACTCAGTTCTACCCAGCCCTGTTCCCACAGAAGGACTAGTCGGGGTGCCCAGATCCATCCTTACCCCAAGAGAATGTTCAGCTGAGCTCTATGTGCAAAAAGGGATTTGCTAGAGCCTCCTCGCCTCCACAGAGGATTGGTTAGCCCAGCCGCACCTGACTCATGAGAAGGATTACCTGGCACCTTAAAGGACTGGCCAGCCCACCTAATAGTTTGGATCAGCTCGACCCTTCCCTCACAGAGGGATTGGCCAGCCTAGTCTCACTCCCACAGAGGACTGGTTTAGCCCAGCTGCCTCTAACTCTCCCATAATAGGTTGGATCAGCCTTGGCCAGTCCAACCTCACTCCCACAGAAGCCCAATAGTATCCAGTCTCACCAGCCCTGAGGAAGTGACCAGCTCTACCCTCCAGGATCAAAGTAGTCTGCATGATGCTGGTCTCTCCAAAAAAAGCATACAAATTACTCTTTTCTGACACATCTGGTTGTAATTTACATTATACCTGCATGGGCTTAACATGTGACTTGCTTAATATCCATTCAATATCTTTCTTAGTTGAAAAAAATCAAATCCCCAGGAGCTAATGATCTCTCTGCTGGCCTATCCTGGTTCATTTACAGGGACACAGGTGAGTGGTCTTTGCCAGTGCTCTTCCATATGTTCATCTTTCAAATGGAAATGAACCTTGTCTAGACCCATAGGGTGATAAAGACAGGACCTTAGAGATTCTTCCTTTTCCAACCCATTTATATCACACAGGGAGAAACTGAGGCCCGAGGAAGGGAAGGGATTTTTCTCAAAGTTAATGAAAGAACCTGGACCAGGTTCTAGGCTCAAATGAGGTGACATTTCTAAAAAGTGCTTAGCGCCGTGCCTGGCACTTCGTAAGCACTATGTAAGTTCTTACTCCCTACCACCTCCCATGCCCTTTTCAATTCAATTCCAACAAACATTTATTAAGTGTCTACTTTGCACAAAGCCCTTGAATATACTCCCTCCCCAATTCTACCTTAGGATCCCTAGCCTTCCTTCAAAGTTCGACACAAGTACCTGCCTCCTACAGGAAGCCTCCCCTGGACCTGCTTGTTGCTTGTGTCATTTCCTTCCCTCAATTCCTTTATTTCTATTTTTTATCTCTTTGTATTTCTTTTTCTCCCTTCCACTAACACCTCCCCCTCCTTCCTCTTCCCATGTAAGCTCCTTGAGGGAAAAGATTATTTTGGTTTTTTGTATCCTCAGCACCCAGCATAGTGCCTGGCACATAGTAGGTGCTTACTTAATAAATTCTCTTTGCATGAATAAAAGTATTTTTTGGAGACTAGAAAGCATGATACAGATGTTACACACCCTATTACTGTTTTTTTTATTAAATTCCCTCTAAGACTCCTTTAGCTCTAACATTCTCCTCTCTATTACACTGTTTCCTGTTGCACATTTCAAACAGAATGTCTTGGAGATATCTCAAACTCAATGTGTTCCTCTTTACCTCCAAGCCCTCCTCTTTTCCAAACATTCTTCCCACATTTCTTCTAGCCTCCCAGCTTTATAACCTTGGTGTTATGCTCAACATCTCACTTTCCTGTCCCCCACATTTCCAATTAGTTGCCAAATCTGTATGTTTTATACCTCTTCCATCTGACCCCTTCCCTCTACTCACTCAGCTGCCTCTCTTTTGAATCCATCATCCAAACGGATTTATTTTCCTTTACTGACCATGCCACTTTTCTCTCTACTCAAAGCCTCTATACTGCCTCTAGAGTCAAATATAATTTCCCCTGTTTATCTTTTAAAGCCCTTCACGACATTGCCTGGCCAACTTTCCAGCCTCATTGGACATTATTCCTTATCATAAGCTCTGCAATTCAGCCAAATTGGCCTTCTCTGTGCTCCTCACACACTCTACCTCTCATGTCCAGGCCTTTGCACTGACTCTACCACATTCCTGAAATGCACTCCCTCATCTGTCCTCACAGAATCCCTCTTCCTTCAAGAAGCAGGTCAAGCATTGCCTTCCCCAGGAAGTCTTTCCTGATACCTCCAACTGCCAGTTCCTTCCCTCCCAGACTACCTTGTTTTTATTTACTTGTATTTATTCTGTATATACGTATCTTTGTCCTTGTTGTCTCCCCCATCCAAATATAAACTTCTTGCAAGTAGGGATTGTTTCATTGACATTTGTGTCCCCAGGGCCCGATATAGTAGGTCTTTAGTAAATGCTTACTGATCCACTAATTTATCAGTTGATCTATGCTAGCTCTTTCCCCATCTCCTGTCCCCCATCCCACCCCCATCCTTCCAAGGGACCCTGGCTTTCTCACCTCTGTGTCAGTTTCCATCCAGCCAGAGAAGCAAATATGGCCACGAGGAAGGAGATGGGAAATACCCAAGAGGACCATTCTGTTTTCTCTTCTTCTTCATGGGGAACAAAGTGAAATGGATCAGAATTCAAGGCCTTCCCATGAACTCAGGAAAGAGGATGGTGTGGAGGAATGGGGAAAAGGTTGGACAAGAAGAATGATGGGGAAAAGTAATGGGAAAGGAAAATGAAAGCACAGAGGAGTCAGGACTGGGAACAGAGGTCTTTTATTACCTAAGGGTCCTCTCAGTTAGACTATACTACGTTTTGTCTTCTGGGTGTGACCTCCACCTGCTAGCCCATTGTATCTATTCCTGCTTTCAGTACAGTCAGGACTAGGAAAATGTTCTTGACAGAATCGACAGTCAGCTTACTTACTCATTCACTCATAAGCTGTCTGGCTGACTGACTGATCAATGACAGTGAATAACTGATTGAGGGGAAGGGCTGGCTGGCTGATTGAGTAAGTGAGTGAGTGAATGAGTGAGTGAGGCTGACTAAGGAACTGATAGTTGTCTGGTAATATGACTGACTGGCTAGCTAACACTGATTATAAATGACTGACTTAGTGGTTGAATTCGTTACTGGCTGCCTGGCAGCCTTAAAGAGTGGTTGACAGATAACAATCTGAGCGAATGACAGATTGACTGACTGACTACCTGGATGCCTGATCAGCTGATGGATTGGGGTCCAAACAATTAGAAGCATACTTCAAGAGTCTTGGAGTTTCTGAACTCAGAAAATTTGTCCCAGAAAGGCTAAGGTCAGGATGATGGTCCAGAAGATGGTGCTCCTGGCTTGGGGGAGGGGGGAGGGGCTCCAGTGGCTCCATACTCACCCGCTGGCTGGGTCCTGAAGGAGGCGGAAGCACTCCACTCGCTCCAGACCCCACTGTAGAGTGAAGATGGCTGAGGCTGAGCTCGAACTTGTATTTCATAAACTGAGCCCTTCTGGAATTCCAAAGGCAGGAGTGATACTGACTTCAAGTCGGCTGGGATGAACTTGGCCTTCTGAGTCTGCCCAAACATGCAAGTAGAGTTACAGGGCTGAAATAGATCCCAAGAACTCATCCAATCCAGCCCCCCTCCCCTGCTAAAGGTACTGCTCGTACTGAAACACAGCTAGTTAATCTCTGAAGGTGTCTGAGGGTAGAGAACATGCAGGTTCTTGTAACTGCTAACATCCTTCCTCCTTCACATTCTGAGGTGGTATGATATAGTAGATAGAGCATTGACCTCAAAACCAGGAACACCTAGGTTCAAGTCACCTCACTTCTTATAAGTACTAGCTACATGACCCTGGGCAAGTCACTGAACTTTTTAGAGTTGCTGTAGACAGCTCTTGAAGACTAAAGTTGTGGAGAAAGTTGGTACATTGGTAGAGTAGGAATTTCCTCACTAGGAATTTCCCTATATCAATGAAGTCACAGGTTAAGTTCTTGTCCTTCATATTTCCTTTACTGGCATAGAGAAAGAGCCCTAGGCTGGAGTCAGGATTGCTGGGTTCTAGTCCTGACTCTGCTACCACCATGACGTTTCAGGTAAGTCACTTTCACATACACTATACCTACCTACTTTCCCCGTGAGACTGGTTCTCACCATTGAAGAATATTCGGAAGGTGTAACGAAATGTCAAAACAAGGTAACAATCTTCCAGAGTAAACCAAGTGTTCTGGAAATCCCCACTTCCTTACAAAACAGGCCCTTCTGCCTTCTTAAGGTACTTAATTAATTCTTGTTGACTGATTAATTGCTCAAAAATCTTCCGTGGATCCCTATTGCTTCTAGAATCAATAAAGTCTCCTCAGTCTGGCATTTGAAGTCCTCTGTAACAGGGCTCCCACCTATCTTTCCAGACTATTTCAGCTTACTGTTTCATCTTACCTCCCTTGACACACTACCCCTCCATTCCAACCAAACTGACACAATAACTGATCCCCAAATTTGACATTCCCACCTCAATGCCTTTGCACAGACTGGAATGAATTCCCTCCTCACATACACCTCAGAATCCTTAGCTTCCCTCCAGGTTCACCTCAGATGCCACCTCCTATTCAAAGCCTTTCTTTATCCTTCTAATTGTTGGTACCTTCTCACTCCTCAATTATCTTGTATTGACTTTTTTGTGTACACATGAGACCTCCCAGTAGAATGCACTCTCCCTGAGGGCAGGAACTGTTTCATTTTTGTCTTTATGTCCCCAGAGACTAGCCCAGTACTTAATAAATGCATGTTGAAGTGCATTGAATCCTAGGCTCCTAGATTTGACATTCTAGATTCTGTGATCAGACAATCACCACTCTCTCTGGAAGACTTCTTACCATCCAGGAGTCTTCTTGTTTTTTGTAGCGAAGCTCATATTGTAGCTTATTCTGTAATGCATAGTAACGAGGATCTTCATAGTGGGTTTTCCAGGAAATGTTGTAATCTCCAAAATAGGCCACAGTCACGTTGAAAGGGGGATTTGGCTTAACTGTGAGGAAAGAAACATATATTCATAGATAGATGGAAAACACTTAGTGACTTCAACTCAATTCAATATGTGCCAGGCACTGTGAGGGGTAGATACTAGCCATAGAAATGCAAAAAGGACCTGCCTTTAAGGAGGTTACTGTCTTCGGGGAACAAACAACATATACATATAAATGAGTGAAAAATATATACAAAATAAATGCAAAGGACTTTCAGGGAGGTGTTAGGGAGAGAAAAGAACTGGAGGAGTCTGGAAAGACCTCTTACAGGAGGGAGCACTTCAGGTGATACTTGAAGGGATCTAGAGATTCCAACAGGCAGAAGTGAGGAGGGAAAGGACCTCAGGAATGGGGACCAGCCACAACATAAGATGGAACGTTACATACGAGGAACACCAAGTGCGCCAGTTTGACTGGCCCATAGAGTGCTGGGATGTGTAACCAGCCTGGAAAGAAGGGGGGAAGCAGGATTCTGAATGACTTTAAATGCCAAACAGAAGAGTGAGCTAAAGGGATATCCTGCTCATGCCTCCAAAACAATTTGTGGGACCAGTAATTTTTTTGTAAATCACCTTAACCTTTCTGGTCTCAGTTATCCCTTCTGAAAAATGAGGGGATTGGATAAGATGATCTCTGGAGCCTCTTCCAACACTGAGAGGAGTCTCTGGCACATAGTAGGTGCTTAATAAATGTTCAGTGACTGATTGACTGACCTTGCAGTTCTGAGGGTAGAGGTCGATGACTTTGGCTTCATTTGCCTATCTTTTATGTTGGCTCAAATTCGTCTTCATGCTGAGTCAACAAGGACTTCGGGAATATAGTAAGTGGATCATGTAGCCTAGTTTCCACAAGTGCCTGTTGGGCAAAGCCCCTAAATTGGGTTTTGAGAGAGAACAGGGCCCTCATAAGGAGATAAATAGGAGTTTTGGAATGTGTAACCTTGTCAGAAAAGTTGTCTAGGACTATAGACTGAAATTCATCCTCAGACACAAAGAGTTAAAAGAGAAATTGAGAGGATGCCCATCAATTGGGGAATGGCTAAGCAAGTTGTGGTATATGAATGTCATGGAATACTATTGTGCTGTAAGAAATGATGAACAGGCTGACTTCAGAAAAACCTGGAAAGACTTGTATGGTCTGATGCTGAGTGAAGTAAGCAGAACCAAGAGGACTTTGTACACAATAACAGCCATGTTATGCAATGACTAAGATTGTTAAACTGAACCCTTCTCAGCATTACAAGAATCTAAGACATCTCCAGAGGCCTTGGGATGGAAAATGCTGTCCACATCCAAGGAAAGAACTATGGAAGTAGAATCGCTATCACTTATTTTTACCTTCTGTTGAGTTTTGTTTCATCTTTCTGATGGTTCCTCCTATGGGTTTTAATTTTTACTTACAACTTCACTAATGTGAAAATATGTTTAATAGGAATGTAAATGTAGAGCCTATATCAGATTGTGCACCATCTTGGGGAGAGTGGGGGGGAGGAATGGGGAGAAAAACCTTCAATTCAAAAGCATATGGAAGTGATTGTTGATAAATCAAAATAAATTAATAAAATTTAAAAAAAAGAAATAAATGAGATAAGGAAAAAATTATAAAAGAAAAACAAACCAAAGAGTTAGAAGACTTAATCTTAGCCTGAGAGTCTTGTTTTTCAGTCCCTTAGCTGGGCTATGGCTAAAGAGATGTTAGGCTATCTTTTTCAGGTACAGGCTTGCTCATCACTGATGCTCCTTTCAGATGGCACTCAGAAACTGTTAGCCCAAAGGAACTTAGTGACTATGTGCCTGGTACAGATACCCAACAGCAACCAGCTGAACAACACCAGCAGAGATGGCATGATCAGTAGCAACCACGAAATTATCACAATGATACCTCACACAGAGCTAAGTGAAGCCATCACCAGAGGATATCGTTAGTCCTTCAGTGTCAAAAGTCAGAGTTGCACTGCCCCCACAACCATTCCCTATGTGTGTGCCTTCTAGTGTGTTTTTGCTAAATGGGTTCCTTGTATGTGTTTCTTCATCCATGCTCTTATCAATGGTCCCCTCTAAGTCTACCCTCTATACCATCTCAGGTGAAAGGTTTTCCTTATGTGTGTGTTTACTCTACCTCACTGGGAGCATAGCAACACATGGGAGAATGTACCCACATGTGCACATTTGGGTAATCTCTTATCATTTTATTGGCTATGTTGTTTGAATAAATATCTTTTGTTTGTACTAATGTGTCTTCTGGCTGGTTGGTAAAAGAAAGCACATTGATAGGGGCTCTGGAGTTATGGTGTTGGTCCTCAAAATGACCTAAGTGGGGGCAAAAGGGAATACATATGTGAAAGGTGATGCTCTAGGGCAGGAATGGGGAGCCCATGGCCTTGAGGCCAATTTGTTCTGTGAAGTTTGGATTCAGTTAAAGGGCTGAACTTGAGGACCTGGAGGGCCACATGTGGTCTCGAGGTCACAGGCTCCCCACCCTGCAGGGTTACAGTAGAGTGTTAGAGATGGAAAGGACCTTAGAACTTACTAACCAGAATTTTAGAGCTGGAAAAGACCTTAGAAAATAGAATACTAGAACAGCAGTTCTCAAAGTATGGTTGGCAGACCTCTGGATGTCCCCAAGATCCTTTCGTGGTGTAATGCAAGGTCAAATATCAAGATGTTATTTGCCTATTAAAACACTCCTCCCTTTTCCAACTACATATCTTTGTGAAGCCACATTTTCCTCATATTTCAACCAAGACTACATAGAGCAACAGATTGAATGCAGAATCCAGTTGTCTTCTATCAAGCTAGACATTTAAGTAATTTGTGAAAATATGTAAAAAAAAAAAATGCTATCTTCAACAAATTTCTTTTGTTTTAAAAATATAGCTATTTTCATAAAAATATGTTATTTATGTTAACTTTAGTGGGTTTATTATTTTTTAAGAAAAAATAAATGTAAAATGTATCAGTTTTAATTTCTAATACAGTAAATATCAATAACTATAACTCATGTAAACAAAAACTCTTTGGGGTCTCCAATAATTTTTAAGACTGTAAAAGGGCCAAAAATTCTGAGAACTGCAGTATTAGAATAAAACATTAGATCTGGCAGGAAACTTAGAGATTTTCTAAACTAATAGCTTCATGTACAAATGAGGAAATTGAAACCCAAAGAACAAAAGTGTCTCACCCAAGGGAGAACCTGGACAATTATCTCACATTATGGACGCTTGGGATCCATAACTTGGAACCATGTCTCTTATTACTTGCCTTCACAATGTATCCACGTATCATATGCCTCCACCAAACTGAACAACTCACAGCCTATTCCCTGCCACACTCCCTATGTTTTTCCATCCCTATTCCTTGACTCACATTTATCCCTATGCCTGAAAATCACAAATCTATTGAAATATTGGAAAAGTTCATCTAGATGTTCATACACTGGGTTTGCTCACATTGAAGGACACCAGTCAGTATGATAACATGCATGTGCTTTATTTTTGTGAGCCTAAGAAAGGAAAGAGCGGGAGGCTTTCAGCATGCTACAAATAATTTCCGGCTCTGGTCTCCTGGCCCCAGCCTCCTTACCCGTGATTTTGGTAAGGGGTGGGGGTGGGGTCACAGAGGGAGGAAGAATGAGGAGAGAGAGAGAGAGAAAAAAAAAGAAATAAAAAAAAGCAAGATTCAGAAACTTCAAAACCACAGGACCCAGATTAGAGGCCTAGGTAACAAAACCCAAATGCAAAGCAGACTCCCCTGTGACTGGCACTTTCCTTTACCTGTCTCATGGGTCTTTCACCGTGTGGAGAAGCTGTAGTGTTGGTGTCCTTATCCTCCCTCTCTCTGGTCTCTCGACCCCCAAATGCTGACACCTGATGGGTAGGCAAATGTCCCTGTGTGTGGGGGCCTGGCCCAGGCAGATGACAGGTTCCAATAATGAAGGGACCTTTTCCTGTTTCTTAGCTTATGTTTTCATAGTGCTTTATATGTGAAAATGTGAAAGTGTTTTTCAGAGTAGTTGTTAAGTTTATAGACAAGGAACAGAGTCAGAGGATTCCTAAGACAGAGCAAGAAGAAACTTCAGCAATCATCTGGACCAAGCTCCCTCAGTTTTACAGAAGAGAAAATGGAGACCCAAAGAGGGAAAGGGAATCCCCCAAATCAGGGCACATTCACATCTGGTCCTCAGTCTTCAAATCCAGGATTCTTTGCATAACACCCTAGTTGCCTCCCATGTGAGGCACATATTGCTGCCAGACTAATTCTTCTGGCGCACAAAATTATTTACGTCCCTCTTCTCAAAAATCTTCCTGGCGCACAAAATTATTTACATCCCTCTTCTCAAAAATCTTCCATGGCTCCCTTGAATAAAAGTCACATTTCTTTGCTAGGCATTCAAGGCCCAGAGCAACCTGGCCCCATACTACCTTTTAAACTTTATCTCATTTTACTTTCCTTCATGTGCTCCATGCAGACCATAGACATACCGGGTAACTTGCAGCCCTCTGAATATAGGGATGGGAAGGGAAAGGGAATTAGCATTTCCATAGCATCTACTATGTGCCAGGCACAGTACTAAGTAAGTACTTTTTATAAATGTCTCATTTGATCCTCACAACAACCCTGTGAGACGTTTTTATTCCCATTTTACAGTTGGGGTAACTGAGGCAAAAGTCAAAGGACTTGCCCAGGATCACATAGCTATAAAGTGTATGAGACTGAATTCGAGCTCAGGTCTTACTGATTTCAGGCCCAGCACTCAATCAAATGCACTACTTCTATATGCCATACGTTTTTGTTTTTTTGGCTTTTTTTAGGCAATTGGGGTTAAGTGACTTGCCTAGAGTCACACAGCTAGTAAGTGTCAAGTGTTTGGTCTGAGGCCAGATCGCCATGTGTTTTTCCATCATCATGCATTCCTACATACCGTTCTCTAAATCAGGAATGTCGTCCTTTCTCCTATTTGCTTGACGAATTCCTATCTGTCATAAATCCCAACCGAAAAGCTTCCTCTTCTCAAGTATGCTCAAATACTCCCTTGTCTGTAATAACCTTCCCACTCAAAATCTTCACAAAGGACTAGGTTATAATTCCCTAAAGTGCTTTTCTTGTAATAGTGTAGCTTAGCTGTCTCTGTTATCTTATATTCCTATTAAACCCTAACCTTCCTGAGGGCAGCGACTATATATACAACATTTAGACTTTGTATATCTCCCTCAGTGCCTAGCATAGTGCTCTGTACACAGTAGGAGCATTATCATTTAGAGAATAAATGAATGAAAAAGCACAGCTGGAATTTCAAACCCAGGTCTTCAAATCTATTTCTCCATCTTTACCTTTTAAATCATAGAAGAGAAAAGGAAGGAGTCTTATAAGGAACAAAAGATTAGAAGAGACCTTAGGACATAGAACATATAGTTAGAGCTAGAAGGAGCCTTAGAAATTGTCTAGGCCCACCCCTTCTTTTTATAGAGTAGGAAACTGGGGCCTGGAGGGGGAAAAATTCTTGTCATAAGTCACAACTACTTAGTGGATTTCTGGTCCTCTCTTTGGGTTAATGGAGAGGTTCCTAACCTTTCTGGAGGGGTATCTTGGACCCCTCTGACAGTCCAGTGAAAATGATGGCCAGGTTCTCATGATAACATCTTCAAATAATTGATGGAAATAATAAATTTCAGTTAGAGGCTGATACACATAAATATTTATTTTTTCTATTCAAGTTCAAGGACTCCCTGAAATCTATTATTTACTTACTCTGTAGATCCCAGGCTAAGAACTCCCAGATTAAGGCAATTTATCTCCAGCAAACCCTGATTCAACTGCAGGTTCCCTTGTGAAGAAGAGAAGTATCTATGGGCTCATAGATTTAGAGAGCAGGATGGGATTTCAGAGGTTATTTTAGTATAATCCCATCACTTTGGAGATAAGGAAACTGAGGTCACACAAGTAGTATATATTGGGGCACAGGCAGGATTTGAACTCGGGTCTTCTGATTCCAAATCCGGGGCTCTTTGCACTGCATCACTCTAATCAGGGCACCCAATGTGCTTGAAAGTGTTGTCTTTCTCCTTATTTTTCAGTTCTTCCCCCAGGCCTCTTCCCCTCCATCCGAGGTCCCAGCAGAATAAATCTGTCTTCTATTTGAACGCCTTTCAAACATATGAAGACTGTATTTCTTGTTTGTGCTAAATACTCCCAGTTCCATCCACTGATCCTTATGTGGCCTTTCATCACCCTAGTTGCCCTTTCCTGGGTAATCTCCAATTTATGGAGAATTGATGAGATAGGGCAGAGCCAGGCTATAGGCCACCTCTCCTTCTGCTGACAAAATCTCATGGAAGGGCCATTTGATTTGCTTTTACATCCTGACCATGCCACTTTCTACCTGTGTTACTTAGGGCTATCCATTTATCAAAGCCTCAAGTTCTGTTTGTAAAATGAGGGGCTTGGATTAGCTAGACGGTCCCTAAGGCTCCTTCCGACTCTAAATCTACGAGCCCTTGAGAGGGAAAGAGGGGAAGGTAACAAGCATTATTATGTGCCAGGCACTGTGCTTAATGCTTTACAAATATTATCTCATTTGATCCTCACAACAACCCTGGAGGTAGGCACTATGATCTCTATTTTACAGTTGAGGAAACTGAGGCAGACAGACGTTAAGTGTCTCGCCCCGGGTCACACAGCTAGTAAATTTTGGACAAAGATCTATCGTCTGAGCATCCCCATGAAGTAATTAACACAAATATTCCCATTCTTATTTGATTGATGGGGTACAGAGTGGTAGAGTGACTTGTTCAAATTCTTATATCTAGTAAGTGGCAAAAGCTAAGGGTTGGAGTCTTGATTCTACCATCTGCTAGCTGTGTGATCTTGGTCAAGTCACTTAACTCTGAAACTTGGTTTCTTCCTCTGTAAAACAAGGAGAAGACCTACATTAGCTAATTCATGGTATTTTTCTGAGGATCAAATAACATAATGGATGGGACAGTGCTTCACCAACAGTAAGATGTGTAGATAAGCTATTATTTGTGGTAATATGGATTGATGTCTTGGAATTAGCTGGATATCAGCTCAAAGCTGAGATCAAGGTCCCAAAGGAGTGGGCCACAGGACAGGTCAGTTTTGACAGGACATTAGAAGTCAGGCAAAGAAAGGTTCAGTAGATAGTGCATCATCCAGGGAGGACATGGCAAGGAGGAGTTTGGGAGGTGGAGGGTAGATTTCTGGGAAGTGGAAAGCAGTCAAGACAATAGCAAAGGAGGAGACAGAGGGAGGGAGGGAGGGGAGGGAGGGACGGAGGGAGGGAGGGAGAGAGAGAGAGAGAGAGAGAGAGAGAGAGAGAGAGAACGAGAACAGAGATGTCACTGTTTTCCACTACGATACTCACTGCTCTGAGCCAGGATAAAGTGTCTTCCCTCACTGGAACTGTTGCTTAGCTTGTCTGTGATGGTGACGTTGAATTCATCATCTGACATCAGTTTATACACATTCATGTGGCACGTATACTGCATATGGGTGTGGTTGTAGGTAGATCGGTTGAAGCTACAAGAGTTAGCGAATTCCTCCAGTTCCCCATAGGGATCATTCCTTCAACAACAACGAAACAATTCCAATCATCTCCCAATCTGCAAGCAGCTTGATGTGTTTTAGGATCATAAAGTCACAGCCCTCAGAGGTGTTATATAGCCCAACCTCCACCTGAAGCAGGAAATCCCACTGGAACATCTCTGATAAGTGGGCATGGAGCCTCTCCTGGAAGGTCTTCAGAGTCTGGGAACTTATGACCTCCTTAGGCAGCCCATTCCTTTAATGGATGATGCCAGTCAGGGGAAAGGTCTTCCTTATACTGATCTGCTTCCCTGTAAAGTCTCCTTAGTTCTACAGGGAAGAACTAGGACCTAATTCCCCCAGTACATGATGGCCATTTAGGTATTTGAAGACAGCCATTGTTGCCATCCCAGACTCTCCTCTTGTCCAGGTTCTGTAACTGTGCCTCATATGGCATGGCTTCCAGACCATCGTGGGGGATGGGATGGTTTACTGAAAAGAATACCAGATCTGGAGGCAGAAGACTTGGGTTTGACTTTAGAAAAGTCTCTTCGTCTCCCTGGGCCTTGGTTTCCTTTGGAAAAGGAGTATTGAAACAAGAAGATCTGTAAAGTTCTAAAATTTCATTATTCCATGTAGCATGGCTAGATATAGTAGTTTATTAAAAAAAAAAAGAGCCAGGGAGTCTTAGGGCATTTTAGGCTCAATATGCGTCAAGGGTATAATATGGAAGCCAGAAAAGCTGATGTAATCTTTGGTTGCATTAAAAGGGGTGGGGGGGGTGTAATGTCAAGTCCTTATGTCCTCTGCCCTGGGCAATTCATATTTGGAGCATTCTGTTCAGTTCTGGGTGCCACATTTTAGGAGAGATGTCCAATAGAGGACAACCAGGCAGGTGAAGGGCTTTGAGTTCATGCCATCAGTAAAAGTTACTGGGGGTGTTTAGTTTAGAGAAGAAAAGCTGTGTTCCTGTGTTTGAAGGGCTTTCCAATGAAGAGATTTGATTTGTTTTGCTGGGCCCATAGATGGAAGGAGGAAGGGTTGGGGGCAGGGGGAACTACGAGTAATGGTGGATGTTGTAGAAAGACAGATTTGGGCTTGATAGAAAGGTAACTTCTTAGCCTTTAGATCTGTCCAAAGGTGGAAGGGGCTGCCTCCCTCCTCATGCTTCTTTACCTCACATCATAATTGAGTGTATTTAATTCATTTCATTTGCCTGCTGAGTACCAATCAATCAATTAGCATTTATTAAGTGCCTACTATATGCCAAGCACTGGGGATACAAAGACAAAAATGAAACATTCCTTGCTTATTCCCTTGACTTGGATGTCCCACCAGCACCTCACCTTACCCTTAACTTGGTCCATAGTCTTATAGAACTGGAAAAGAATTTCAAATCATTCCAGCCCATCCATCTCTCTCTCTCTCTCTCTCTCTCTCTCTCTCTCTCTCTCTCTTTCTCTCTCTCTCTCTCTCTCTCTCTCTCTCTCTCTCTCTCTCTCTCTCTCTCTCTCTTCCCTCCCTCCTCTTTCCACCCTCCCTTCTCTTCCTCCTCCTCCTCCTCCTTCTTCTTTTCTCTCTGTCTCTGTCTGTCTTTCTCACCCCTCACCCCTTCTCTCCTTTCCTAATCCTTGGCACTTACCACTCAATGGTGAGGTCAGGGGAGGTCTGTGCCTGGCCAGGATCCACTTGTAAGATGCATGTCAGGTTTTGGATGTAATCTGTATAGCAGATGAGGTCCTGGTAGCCAGATGCTAGGGTAGTTAGAATGGGGAAGGGAGGAAAGAGGAGAATGTTGTCATGGAGATTCTAACTCACATCCCCCTTGTGATTTTGGAAGGGGACTAGTTGATTCCTCAATTCCCAGCTTCTTGGACCTAGAAGCTCCCAAGGGGAGAAGAGTGGCAGCTGGCAGGAAGCAGCCTAGATCTTCTCAGCATGTTAGTTCTGTGCGGGTTCTTCTAGAGACAGAGCTTAGGAGCATCACTGGGAACTCACAGGGTAGGGAGTGGTTAAGGTAGGAGTGGAGATGGCACTGATTTCTATTAGTTTAAGTTTTCTGGCTTTCATAGGCCAAAGTGAAATATAGAGCCTGGATTAGAATTTTAGTGTGTTGAAGCTGGAAGGAACCTTAGAAAATAGAACTTAGAACATTCAAACTGAAGGTGATCTTAGAACATAGAAGATAGACTATTGGAGCTGGAAGGGGCCTTAGCAAATAGGACTTAGAACATGCAAACTGAAGGTGATCTTACAACATAGAAGATAGACTGTTGGAACTGGAAAGGGCCTTAGAACATAGGATGCTGGAGCTGGAAGGAACCTTAACAAATAGAACTTAGAACATTTGAGCTGAAGGTGATCTTAGAACACAGAAGATAGATGGTTAGATCTGGAAGGGACCTTAGAACATAGGATGTTGGAGCTGGAAAAGAACTTAGTATAGCGAACACAGAATGCCAGAGCTAAAAGTAGCTTGAATGACCATCATGTATAACTCATTCATTTTACAGAGGTGGCAACTTGGTCTCAGAGAGGTACCTGACCAGGGCTAATTAGCAATTCTTCATGCCCCATAATGGTCTCATTTTTTTTTCCCTCTGGGCCAGTGGGATCTCCATTCATAATAGTTGGGGGTTATAGTCTTGCTTTGTCGTTCACTGGGCAATCTCTCTACCATGACCCCTTCTTGGTTATTCCCCTTCTTGCTGAGTCTTTCACTGGCACCTCTTCCTCTCTCCACCCTCAAACTAGAGCCATCTCTGCTCTCCTACAATATCATTCTTCCCTACAGGGACACTTAGAGCCACCACTTCTCTCCTGGGAGTTTGAGCCTGAAGCTGAAGGGATAGATCTGATGTACTGTATTTCCACAACAGGTTCCTATCTGTAAGTGATAAAATAGGGCAATTCCTGGGAATGCCCTTTAGAAAGAAGCCACAACCAACCTAAGCTTGCCCTTGGACCCCTGGAAGGATGAAATAGAAAGAGGACTCTTCTCCATGGCCAGGCTGGTCCTGGGATCATGGCTTTTTACCATTTTTTTCTTCCCTGGGGACTGGGGGATTTTCCCCACCCTGTCCACTAGACTTGGAATCAGAAGACTTGGGTTTGAATCTAGTGCTGTTACTTATAGAACTGAGTGACGCTGGCAGATCACTTCCTCTTTCTGGGCCTCAGTTTCTTCACTTGTCAAAAAAGAGCATCTGACCTCAAATCTTCTGCTTCCTAACATCCCTTCCAGCCCTGAAATTCTATGAAACCTGTACTTCCAAGGTTCTACTTTTCATGGTGTCCTGCACATAGGAAGTTAAAATGCACAGCCCGATTTTCTAAGGGGTGCTTGGGGAAGGGACACTTCACATAGCTGAGCTAAGTTACAAGTGCAGTCCTGAAGTTAACTTGGCCTAGGTTTAAAGCACTTCTTCCCGAGTGGTTCCTGCTGTCTGTCCCATAATTTCCTTGTCAGAAGCCCTAGCTCTGACGTCATAATTCTGTTGGGCTACTCCCCTCCCAAACCTTCCCCCTAAGTCTAGGCTAAGATCTATTTCTCTTAGTTCCCGGAGAAGCAGGGTCCTGTCCTGGCTCGGCCTCAGGGTCATCCTCTGCACCCTCAGATCAAAACTGCTGTCCCAAAGTTCACCTGACTTACCAATACAATACATCCTGCTCCTGGCATCTGAACGCAAGAATTCTCTGACTTCTTGAGCCCTGAGTCCTTTACTCAATGGCCTGAGTCCAGCCTCTGAATGTCACCTATATGTCCTCCCACTCAACCCCACCTCCCAGATCTTTCTCTTCCTATCTCCTCATCCTTCTCCTTACTTTGAATGATTTTGAATCAGTGTTTTAGCCTAGCTCCTCCATTTAGAATTCTCTCTGAACCTCCAGCTTCTCCAAAAGTTATTCCTCCTTTCCCAACCCCACCCCTAGCCTTGCCAAAGGCCTCACCCCTCCTGCACCCGATCACCATAGACCCCTGGCTGAGCATTGGTTTGAGGATTAGAATATGTAAGATTAAGTTACAGCCTCACACTTAATGGCTGTGTTATCTTAGAAAAATCACTTCACTTCTCCCAGACTGTTTCCTAATCTACAGAATGGAGACAGATATCTGTACCACTCACCCTCTCAGAGTTGTTGTGAGGGCTGCCCTTTGAAAAGCACAAAGTACTATTGAAACATAGGCTTTAAAGCTAGAAGGGAATTTACAGATCATCTAAGTCCATCTCCTTCATTTTCCATTTGGGGAAATGAGGCCTAGTGAGGGGGAAATGCCTCTCTCAGAGTCATACATAGACTGAGAGATGGGGCCAGGATTCAAACTTAGGTCTCTTGATTTCAAGGCCAATGGCATTCCCACTATACTCCCCCTTCCATGTAGCCCACCTTTAATTATGGCAAGCAGGAACCTACACTGTCATTATTTTTCATCCTCTTGTCATTCATCCCCTTTCATCTCTTCCTTCTTGCTTTTTGGATTTTCTAGAAATTAACCAGAGTCATATTCTTAAAAAATTCTCTAGCCCTGCAATATACCAAAGGCAACCATGTTCAGAGCAACCTGTCCAAGGTGAGACAGTCAGCAAAGGCAGAAGTAGAATCAATGTCTCCTACCCTCTGGGTAAATGGTTTTTCCTATATACCCAATAGCGTGAGGGCCCAGGGCCTTCTAGGTGAAGGAAACTGCATCTATCTATGTATCTATGCATCTATATCTCTCTATCTATCTCTCTCTCTATCTAATCTATACTATAGATGGACACTGGAAAGACCAATATGAAGCAGAGAGTCCACAATGGGGAAGCAGTGGGACATGAAGTGAGATAGGGGCCAGATGGCAGAGGGCCTTGAATGGGAGGCTGTTTATTCTGTGAGCATTGCCTACTCCTCTTGATGGTACTATCATCTTGCCTCTCACATGAGGCCAAAACCAGAAGGCAGTGTGGTCTAATAGGAAAAGATCTCACTTAGGAGTCAGAGGAACTCAGTTTGAATCCTGGATCTGCCATTTACAAAGAGTATCACCTTGGGCAGGTCATTGGACCTTTCTAGACCTCCGTTTCCTTCCCTATAAAATGAAGGAGTTGAAGATCTTTCTTCCTCATCCCTAGCATCCATCCAATTAGCTATTGAGCTCCATTCTCATTTACCCCACTTCTGTATTTAAATACAAGACAATGTGAATGGTTTCCACAAGCTCATCACACTGCCACTTCCATCTCCCAAGAACCTTGATGACTTTTAAGGAAAGAATGTTTTCTTAGCATTTGTTTCTCTGTCTCCCTGACTGACTCCTCTCTGCTATTTGTCTCACACACTGAAGCCAGTTATCTTCCTAAAGCACATCTGTCATCACATCTTTCCCCCTCTCAAGTTCCCTCCTGCTGACAGAATTAAATTCAAGCTTCTTATCCTGCCATTAAAAGTCTTCCACAATCTCACCCAAATCTACCTCGAGACAGCATATGTCAAACACGCTATAGACTCTCCAGTGCAGTCTGAAACAGATTAAAGTGTAATTGGGAAATATTTAACAAAATAAATTAAAATACAATAAAGCATAGATAACATTACATTTTAAAAATTAAGTCGATGTGCAGTCTGCAGGGATCCTTAGGCATGGATTAGGGGCCCTTCTTTCCAACTGACTTTGATGCCCCAAGGAGAGAGGGAGGAACTGGGAGTAAAGACGCCTACTGGGTTCTAACTCACCTCAGTTCCACTACTGACTCAGTGGGTAAATTTGGGCAAGCCACTTCCCCAATATGTAAATTGTTTCCCCACATGTAAAATGAAGCGGTTTAGATTGCATGATGTCTGAGGTCCCTTCCAGCCCTAGCGTTGTATGATTTCATTCAGGCTTGTTTCTCACAACTCCCACATCCTCCAGGGTATTCAAGCTTCTCTCTTGACCTCATACATACTATGTTTCTCATTTCCATGTCTTTATGTGCATGCCTCACCTGAAAGTCTTTCCAATGCCTACCAATCATCCTTCCAGGCTTAGTTTAAGTGTCATCTACCTCAAGAAGCCTCCCCCAACTAAAGACCCCCTACATGGTCCTTCCCCTTGCTCTGAACTCCCTCTGCATATGTGTCTACAAAGTCTGTTCCATACCATTTACCTACTTGTTATCATGGAATCTCGAAGTAGGAAGGGACCCTAGAGATCATCAAGCAGGAATGCTCTCTGTGGCATATTTGACAGCAATTAGCATAGTGCCTGGTACATAGGAGAGGCAGCTAGGTGGCACAGTGGATAGAGAATGTCCACGCCTGGAGTCAGGAAGCCTCATCTTCCTGAGTTCAAATTAGCCTCAGACACTTACTAGCTGTGTGACCCCAGACAAGTCACTTAACCCTGTTTGCCTCAGTTTCCTTATCTGTAAAATGAGCTGAAGAAGGAAATGGCAAACACCAAGAAAACCCCAAATGGGGTCACAAAGAGTCAGATATGACGGAAAAAAAGACCCAACAATATCTATGGCCCAGAGAACCACTGCCCTAGGAGGAACAGGAAGGTGGATGGACAACTTAACCCTATGGAGCAGTCTTGGGGAAGAGGCTGTCTATTTAGGAAAGGAAAATAAAAAGTGTGACATCTGTTTCCTGCCCAGGCTATGCTATTTGTGTCCCTGAGTCTTAAAAAAAAAAAAACGAATCAGTGTAAAATGTCACGGAGTCAGTTACAGGCAGAGAAGTTGGTCCCCTCTACAGTTCCTCCCTCCCCGCCACTACTCAATCACACTTATGTGTGATAGGCTAGCTCCAAAGATGCCTACAGGCTTTCACATATATCATAATCCTCTGCTGGAATGCCCCATGCACAACACATTACCTGTCCCCCACCCTCCATCCCTCTCTCCCCATTTATATCCCTCCACTGACTCACTTTCCTTTTGTTTGTTTGTTTAGCACTTAGGGACTTTGTGCTAATTGGGGAAATGCAATGCAGTGTAAAAACAAAACAAAACACTGAACTGGGAGTCAGGACACCTGGCTTCTAAATCCGGCTCTGCCATTAACTTTCTGTATGACCCTGTGCAAGTAACTTCCCCTCTGTGGGCCTCATCTTCCCCATCTGTAAAATGAGGATCTTGGAATAGATTGTTTCCAAGGTTCTTTCTAACTAGGGCCTACAATTCTTCCTGCTCTCAATTTCTGTGTTCCATGTTCTAAGGTCCCTTTGAATTTTACCGTTCCATGTTCTAGAGTTCATTCTAAGCCTGATATTTTATGTTCAAGAGTCCCTTTCCATATTTGACATTTTCTATTCTAAGGTCCTTTCTAAGTCTTACATTCTGTTCTAAGGGCCCTCAAGTCCTAATATTCTATGTTCTAGAGTCCTTCCATTATGTGTCCACATGCATTTATGTGTAATAAATGCTCTGTCTGTTGTTTGGATGCTTGTTTATTCACCCTTTCTGCATTCATTTAGTTCCCCAAGGACCTGAAACTCTTTTCCTTCATCATCTTCCCTGAATATCTATTTCAGGGCTCTGCCCTGCAGTTGCCAAATGATGACTGATCAAATAAGGAGAGGAAACGATCCTGTGGACTCCAAGTCTAACTAGGGTTTAGTATTATTAAGTGAGACCCTGGAATCAGACCAAAGGAAGAATTTTCCTGATCATCAGGACAGAAACATTGGAGTGAGCTGGTCAAACAGGTTATGATGTCCTCTACCTAGGAAAGATCTCGGAATAGGACAATTCTCTGGGGGTTTGGCTACTTTAGGGTCAGGCCTCTTTGGAGACAGGGGAAAGGACTAGGTGACCTCTGAAGGGTTTTTCCATTTCCCAGATATTTACATCCTGAGACTAGTTGGGTAATCATGGTCAGTCACATCACTTAAACTGTCTGAGCCTCAGTTTCCTCATCTGTAAAGTGGGAGTAAGAATGTTTACAACTACTTCATGGGGTTGTTGTGAGCAAGGTGTTTTATAAGCCTTAAAGTACTATATGGATTTGGGTTAGTATTATTATTATGGGTGCACCCACACACATCTCCCTCCAGCAGTGACTAGGATGGGCAGGATCTCCCTCTTCCCAACTCTACTCCCTTCCCCCAGGTAAAAGACAGGTTGCCATCTAAGCCAAACACTTACTGCAGTGGAGTATCAGGAGGAAGGTGATGGTCCAGCCAAGTTGACCAGGGCACATGCTGACCCCAAAGGAAAGCCTGGAAAACAATTGAGAATTGCAGCCTTTTTTGTTTGCTGGCCAAGAGGACTGGGGGAGTGCAGGGTGACAATGGCTGCCTGGGTGAGCAGGGGAGCTGTCACTGATTGACTGTGCATATGAACTCTCTGGGCCTTTAGAAGTTCAAAGGTCCTTTCCATCTGTAACCTTCTAAATATGACCCATACACTAGAGGAAGCCCTGCCAGGACAGCATGATGGGGAAAGTTCTCCCTCCCTACCCTATCCCCTACCTTTACATCCTTCTATTTCCTTGCCTTCTGGCTCCCCAAGGGCCTCCCCTGCATTTCCCCAGGCTCAGGACCTCTCTCCCTCCACCCTAAGACCCTTACTCTTATTCACTGGGCTCTTTGGAAACCCTCTTCCAAACTACTCATTCCTAGGTGTTTATGGCCTGTACAGCTCTGCCTCACTTCAATCCAATTCACTTGCAGGTCAAGATGTCACCCTCCTGATATCATTGGTCCTCTTTGAGAATGAAGGACCAATAAGGACAACATGGCCCATAACTCAACCAATAAGCACTAATTAAGCATCTCTAAGCCAGGCAAAGTACTAGATTACAGAGAAAAATATGAAATGGTCCCTGCCCTCCATGAGTTAAGTAAAGGAGTTTGCTTTCTGGTTCCTTCCCAGGAGGGTTTGCATTTCAACAAGAGTCTTCAATATCTTTAGTTTCTCCTTACTGAGGGAAACAATGGAGAATCCTTAAATGCGTAGAAGTGGGACCTGTTATTATTCTAGTATCATTAGGCATTTGAACTGCTCCAAAGACCATATAGGCTCTGGCTTACTCAGCAGCCCAGACTCAGGGGCTTAGGCTTCAGATTCCTGTCTACCTAAAGGTAGATTCTGGCTGTGAGTAGTCTGTGCTGAACTTGTCCTGTGGGCCTAGTATTGTACTTGCAGCTGAATCAGAGGCAGCAGAATACACACACACACACCCACCATGAGAACGCTATATTTAGAATCATAGATTGTCAGAGCTAGAAGAGACCTTAGCACATAGATTATAAGAGATCAAATGAGGGTGAGGTTGCTTCTAGCTGTGGGCATCAAGGAAGGTATTATTTGAATTGGGCCTCATCTCGAGGCCATTGGGGTTAAGTGACTTGCCCAGAGTCATACAGCTAGTAAGTGTTATGTGTCTGAGGCCGGATTTGAACTCAGGTCCTCTTGACTCCAGGGCTGGTGCTCTATTGAAGAATCTTAAGATTATAGAGTTTGAGCTGGAAGGTATCTCAGAATCCATTGAATCCAATCCCTCATTTTACAGAAGAAGACACTGAGGCTGAGGGAAGGAGAATGAACTGTCCAAGACTGTACAGACAGAAAATGTGAGATCTAGGATTATAGCTCAGATCTTATAAATCGGATCTCATGACCTTTCCATCATATCATGTGGCCTCTGTATTCTGGGTATTCACTGGGAAGCCATCAGCTCCCAAATCCCAGTCTAGTCCAGGCTACTGAGCCCCTCCCCAGAGTGTAAAAGGCCTCAAAGCTCAGAGGCCTCTGGAGAAAAGAGAAGGCCAAGGGCAAGAAGAAGTGAAGCCTCTTAGAGCAAAAATCGTTGTTGACATGAGGTACCAAGGTGAAAAGAGCGACAGGGCTGAGATGAGCTGGGAGGGACTCCCCAGAAGAGGAAGAAAGGGGAGAAGAGGGATGTCTTAGAAGGGGAAGAGCTGAAAAGAGAGGGACTTCCCAAAAGGGAACATTGTAATGAGCTTTCTTTGGTTTCCTCTTCATACCTAGGGCTCCAAAGCCTCTACTCTCTTTCTATTCAGTCTCCTGTCTCTTTTCTGAGCTGTCCGGGAGGGGAACAGGCTCCTATGTGTGACTCAGGTTGACATTGAGAAATACCAATCAGTTCCTGATGAGCTCAGTATCCTTTTTTGTCTGCCTGAAACTGCAAAGAATTGGGGGGAAAGGAGAGCAGGATAAGGCCCCCAGGGCTCCCACCTACTTTTCATAGGAAAGTCTCCTTTGATTTCTCCTTTCTCCCATTTGTCAAAATACTTTACCTGGACACTTCCTTTACACTCTTCTTTACATTTTTCCTTGTGTCACAGTTACTTGTGGATGTGTCTTTATCTCCTTCCTAATTTTATTATAAACTTCCTATAGCAGGATGTGTCCTGTCTTTGTGTCATCAGCGCAATGTCTTAAACACAGTAGACGCTTAAAAAATGTTGGTTATAGTCATAGGATCACAGGATTTAAAACAGGAAGGGTCCTTAGAGATCATCTAGTCCAACATCCCTCTACCATTTTACAGATGAGGAAACTGAGGTCCAAAAGGGGGAAGGGATTAATCAAGGTCACACAGAACAGAAGCAGGATATGAATGAATGAATAAAGAATGAATAGACTTCATCAGCATCATATGGTGGAAAGAGAAGTGGACCTGGATTCATGTCCCAGCTCTGTTATTTACAATGTGTATAGCTTTGGGGATAGAATTTCTTAAAGTTAAAATGAGGGATTGGACCAAAAAGCTATAAATTCCTTTCTACTTCTAAATCCCATAAGCCTATTGGGACCAATGGGTAAGTAGTTTCAGGCTCCTGACAGACTGTGTGAGTCTGGAAGGGAGATAGCAAATAGTCACCCACACTTTCATGGTCTTATGATACTATATCTGCTTACTTAAGATTCACCCCATAGATTGGCAGTGTGGAGAGGCTATTGTGTACAAATCAGTGCTCTCAGCCATAGCCATGAACAGATTTTGGGCACTTTGAAAGAGAGGCAATGAAGAACAGACAGCAGTACATACAATAAGAGGCAAGGGACCTTGGAAGAGAAAGGAATGCAGGAAGGAGAATGGGATGTAGTTAGAGGCTTATGGATTCAAAGAACCTTGCATCCTTCTTCCAGCCTGAGAAACTTGGCTCATCCTTCCTCAAATTTGTCAAGAAGCTGCCAAAGTAGCACAAGACCCAGCACACAGAACAAAGAATGTCAGAGTAGGAAGGGATCTTACAGGTCATGTAGGCTGACTTTACAGATCATTGGATCGTAGATTTAGAGTGAGAAGGGGAAGGGAAGAAATTAAACATTTATTAAGCACCTACTACGTGTCAGGCACTGTGCCAAGCACTTGACAGATATTATTACCAACCACCTTGTTATTCAGCTGAAGAAACTGAGGCCCAGAGCCAAGATTAGATTGGGCCTCCTCCCTCCTCCCCATCCCCATCCCCATCCCGTCACTCTCTTACAGTCTAGTTTTTTATAGGCCCTGGGCTACTGGCCTGTACTGACCGGCATGCCTGATTGAATGAATCTATCTGCCTTTGTTCTCAGGACCTAGCAGTCCCCACAAACCTCTTTGGACCCAGTGCATGTGTATGCATATATGTATGTATGTATATGTATGTGTGGTCAATTCAGTGGGAAAGGGGAAGGAGAAATGTCAGATAGCTGAGTCCTCAGCTACCTGGTCTGAATAATGAACTCCTTCTGACCTTCTGACTTGCCATAAGGCACGCCATGATGCCCTGTCATGATAAGGTAGTGAAGAGAGCAATAACAGGCAATTAGTTTTGAGACTGGGCAGCCCCTCCTCCCCATCCCCTACACTCTCAACCGTTTGTTTCGGGGAATATTTTTGTTTCAAAATTTCCCAGGTTTACTCAGAAAGAGTCATTCGAATTGCCTGTAAAAAGCCCCTTTAGTGTAGAGGCAGTTTAGGGGAAGCTAGTAGTCTCAGTAGACCATGAATCCCCCCTTAACTGTTCACTGAGCCATGGTAGCCTGTAGCAAATGGGCAGAGAGGATGAAGAAGCAGCTCCTGGACACTGAAGACATCTCTCCAGGCCCCTTCTCTCCCAGAGACTCCTATCAATATCTAAAGCTTTCTTTTCTCTTCTCTCTCTCTCTCTCTCACAAACCACTCACGGCTCTTCTGACTAGATGTAGCTGTTTTGCCAGCTCAAAGCCATATTGGCCTCTGCCGCACCTCCCTTCCCCTTCCCTACATGCCTCCTCTCCTTACATCTTTTCTCCTCTTCTGGAGGCCTGACCCCTCCTGATATCATAAATGGGATATGATAGATTCTAGGGTTAAAGATTTTGAGCTGGAAATCCTCACTAGTTATTCAATCCAATACTCCTTTTTTATAGATCAAGAAATCTAAGGTCATTCAGGTAGTAAGTAGCAAAAAAAAAAGTGATTTAAAGCTATGGTGAGTACAGGAGGGAACCCTACTAGAATGTCCCCACATATTAGCCTAGCTTGTACCCCAAGCATCCCTGACCATCACCCCCCTCAACCTTTGAAGAGCCACTGAGAAATTTGTCAACAAAGTGGATTCATCACCAAACCTGGCTTAGAGACCATAAGTAACATCTTCACAGTTATCCCTAATATCTATACAGGTACCGAGTGTTTCCAAGGCATTTTATATCTCATTTAATCTTTACTGTGCCAAGGATTATTATCCCCATTTTATTGACGAGAAAACCTAGAGAAGTTAATAAAAGGCCCTGCCCAAGTTCTCATGGCTAAGTAAGTATCAGAGTCAGGTTTTAAACCTAGGTCTCTTGATGCTGAGCCCAATACTTTTCCTACTTCATTATTTTACTAAGAATAAAGATTTCCTGCTAATAGTATGAATATCTGTATCCGAGCTCACACCTGACATCTGCTTTGCCTTCCAGGGCTCCACAGCTCAGGTCCTCCAGAAAAAGCTAGACCACTATTTATTGGGCATGTTCGAATTTGGAGATTCTGTGATTCAGGGCTGTGAGATCTGCCAGGAGATACTGTTTCCTTTAAGAGGGTTCCTAATCAGTCTCTGTTTTTCTCTTCTCCCACGGTTTACAAACTGACTGCCTTCTGTCCTGGTCTCTACCAGAGTTGCTGTTGAGAGACAGTGGTGAGGAAGCCAGTGATTCACCTTGTCTCTTCTTCCTGTCTCTCCAGGTTACGAAGATTCCTATCTCAAAGATTTAGGGCATGTAATGCTACAAGGACTAACTCTGCAGTCAGAAGACAAGTTCTGAATTCTTTCTTTGACCCTCCCCATTTGACCTTGGGCAAGTCACTTAATCTCCAAGAGCATCAGTTTCCTCATCTGTAAAATGAGGGGGGGTTGGATTAGATATGACCTCTGAGGTCCCTTCCAGCTCAAGATCTATGATGCTTTCATTCTGTGACTTCTCTTGGGACCTTGGCCCCCTACCCTGGCTCCAACCCTCTTTGGGTTTACCTGTTGGTTCCTTCCCTGAAGCTGCAGATCTGCTATTCCGCCATCAGTGTGGGTCCCGGCCCCAGTGCCTCTGCGGCTTAAAACAAAGGCTAAGAGACGAAAAGAGATACTCCGACGTAGCCTCAGCCTCTGGGAGCTAGAGGGCTGGGAGAGACCCATGGAGAGTCCCACATCCCCCACAGACTTGCAGGGTGAGAAAGGGATTTCTATTTTCTATCAAAAGGGACAGAGACCAGAGTTCTGTGTGCAGCTGCTATCTGAGAGGAGGTGCTACAGAAACCTCATCAGGGAAGAGGGATTGGCTCATAGTTATCACCTGCCTGTGCCAATAGAGTTTAAAGGTTTACAAAGTACTTTTCCCCCCCCCACAACCACACCGTGCTGAAAGTAGTATATACACAAAAAACCCCATTTTACAGAGGAGAAAACCAAGGCTTGGGGAGATGAGACTAGGAAATGGCTTGAGTTCAGTGTTGAAACTCAGGTCTGACTCCAGTTCCTTTGGTCTTTTTTATTATACCATGGAGTCAGCCTTCTCTCAGTAACTCTTCTCTGCCCTCCTCTCTTGGTGACCTCTCCTTCTGATATAAAGCCCCCTCCCCAAATCCATGCTAAGTGGGCAGTAATCTAAAAGATGCCACATCCCCCTTTCAAAGTATCCCGGAAGAGGTGTATTGGTGATAACAGAAAGATCGCTGGATTTGGAGTTGAGGGACCAGCATTAGGCAAGACACTTACCCTGTCTGAACCTTGGTTTCCTCATCTGCAAAATGAGAGAAAAGCACCTTCTTCACAGCAACCCTGAAAGAAGAAACAATGTCTGGTCTCTTGCTCCTGCAGGTTCCCATGATCTCATCGCCTTCCCTTCTTCCAGGCTATTTTCCTGGGAGAGTGCCTGTGCCTCTGGGAGCTTTAGGGAAGACCATCCAGGACATATGCATCCAGTCCATTCCTAAATGCCAAACAAATCCCAAGATTCATAGGAACAAAGTCCCCTCCAAACACCAGTGCTACAGGCTAGTGCAAGCCTTATTATCCCTCCCTCTCAGGAAAAGCAGTCTCTGAACCACAAGAGACAAGCCTTGGGCTTATTTCAGCCATTCTTCTTTCTCCACCTCCCTGAAGCCAGCTTGACCTTATGTCACTAAAACAATGTCAAAAAAATCACTGAGTCTGATCTTTCCCTTTCTTCTCTTTCCCTCAGTGCCCTACCCCAAACCACAGGTTTACAATCTCTAGCTGAGGAAAAGAACATATCTCTAATACTGTTATCCTATGAGTCAAATGTCTCTGACTAGCCACAAATCCAGGGCCAGGGGGTCCCAGTGATGAGACAGAACATGAATTACCTGGCTTTTTTTTCCCTTCAGATATCCATTCCACCTATACCGAGTAATCCAAGGGGAGCCCTAGGACTTTGGGAGGGAGGGAGGGCAAACTAGCCAGTTGAGGTAAAGGTGAGATTTCAGGGAGTGGGGCTAGGCCAGCTGAGGTTCTCAGCTCAAGGACAGGAGGACCCTCTGGAATCTGTGGCCTGGCTATTGCCCTCATTCAGTCAGCCAGTCAGGCAAGCATCCAGCCAGCCAGTCAGCCAGCCCCACAACCAGACTGTTAATTAGCTCCCTGGCAGACCACAGGCAGGGAGGATGTGGTGAGGTCCTCAGTACATCCCCGCCCACAGAGCTTTGCTCATTCATAGTCATCTGTCACTGTGAGAAAGAGGTGGGAGAGGTCCCAGGCACCAGGCAACCTGCCTTGCTAAAAGGTCACTTGACGACAAGGTTTTGAGGCTGGGGACTGCCGCAGCTGGGGACTGCCGCGGCATGGGAAGCTGGTAGTTACCGCTCTCTAGCAAGACACAGCTGGAGTCTTGGTTCTCAAATACGATGATAATTACTGACACTTGTCACACATTTTACAGTTTCCACAGCAATCTCTTATGCATCATCTCATTCAACGTTCACAACAACCTGTTTTGGAGGTGGGGGAACAGAGCAGATCAAGTGTTATTTTTTTTCCAATTTTGCAGGTGAAGAAAATGAGACTCAAAGAGGCATGGAAAGAGAATTTGATTCAGAGGCAGAGGACCTGGAGTTCAAATCTGACCCCTACTGCTTTGTACCCATGTGACCTTGGGCAAGTCATTATAATCCCTCTCAGCCACCTTCTCTAAAGTGAGGAGCATGGATCTGGGGTTCTTAACCTGGGATTCAAGAACCTGAATTTAGAAAAAAAACCTGATAACTGTACTTCAACAGACTTAGTTTCCTTTGTGATCCTATACCTTTTATTTTATACATTTAAAAACATTGGCTTCAATAAAGGGGTCCAGGAAAAAAGACAAGTTAAGAAATGCTGGATCACTCTAAGTTCCCTCCCCACTTAAAAAAAAAATCCAGAGATAATGAAGAAAGGATCCTCCAAAAGACTGGACTAGATCAATGATGTCAAACTCAAATCGAAATGGGGGCCATTACACAGGTACATAAGGATCTTTGCATGTCATATACTGTCTTAGAAAACCACAAATTAACATTATCTTTGCTTTATTGTGTTTTTATTTATTTTGTTAAATATTTTTCAATTACATTTTTAAAAAATAATTATACTTTATTTATCTTAACCTTCATTTTTAAAAATTCTGAGTTTCAGATTCTCTCCCTTTCCAGCCCCTCCTCCACCCATTAAGAAGTCATACAATATGATATCAAATATACATGTGGAGTCATGCAAAGCACATTTCCATATTAACCATGTTGTGAAAAAAAAAGCAAGAAAAATAAAGTGAAAAAAAGTATGCACTTGCAGTTCATCAGTTCTATCTCTGGAAGTGAATAGCATTTTTCATCCTAAGTTTTCTGGAATTGTCTTGGATTATATTCTTGATCAGAGCAGCTAAGTCTTTCCTAGTTGATCATTGTTACAATATTGCTGTTACTATGTATATGCTCACTTCACTTTGCATCAGTTCATAGGAGTCCTCCCAGGTTTTTCTGAAAGCATCCTGCTCATCATTTCTTCCAGCACAATAATATTCCATCACAATCATGTGCTACAATTTGCTTGGCCATTCCCAATTACATTTTAAGCTGATTTGGGCTGCATTCTGGAGTCTCTCAGGACAAGTGTGTGACATCTCTGTCACACTTGGACTTTTAAGTCCAAGGTCACATAAAATGCATAATGGGCTAGCCAGGCCTAGAGCTGGGGGTCTTATGACTCCTAAGCCAACATCCTTTCTACTCCATTACCTCTCAACAGACTGGGAAACTGAGTCAAAACTGATAAGTTGAAATGGAAGAAGAATGCGTTTAAAGTACTGACCTCAGGTTCAAAAAATCAATTGCATGAGTATAGGGTGAAGAAAGCAGCTTGACAGCAGTTCATGTGAAAAATAATCTGGGGTTTTTATTCACCCACAAGCTAAATTTGAGCCAACAGTGTGATGCAGCTGCATTTACAGAAGTCCTGATCAAAGGAGCTGATGGTGTCACTGTCCTCTGCCTTGTATGGTATGGTCAAACCATACCCGGAGAATTGTGTTCATTTCTTGGCCCTACATTTTAAGAGGGATCTTGGCAAGCTGAAGTAGTCTAAAATCACAGAATATAAGAGATGGATTCCACTTAATCTTTGTGACTTCCCTTCTAAGATTATCTCAAATTTATCCTGTCTATAGCTTGTCTGTCCATAGTTGTGTGCATGTTGTCTCCATTAGACTGTGAGCTCCTTGAGAGCAAGGACTATCTTTTGCCTTTTTTTTTGTATCCCCAATGCTTAGTATAGTGTCTGGCACACAGTAGGTGCTTCATTAATGCTTATTGACAGTAAACACTTACTGACTAGATGGGACCTCAGAGGCCATCTAGTTCAAGCATGGCTGATCAAAAAAATCCCTTCTACAACATTACTGACAAATTGTGTTTTAGCTTCCTTCCCAAATGCAGACCTCACATGAGAGAGACCATGATCTCCAGAGATAGTCTATTCTATTTTTGAATAGCTTGTTCTTTTTTAAAATAAAATTTAGTTCTTTTTCAAGTATCAAGAATTTATTTTTGCTCCCTCTCACCTCCTTCATCACTAGGAAAGGGAGGAAGGAAAGAAGAAAGACAGACAGAAAGAAAGAGAGAAAAGAGGGAGAGGAATGGAGGGAGTAGTAAAGAAGAAAGGAAGGAAAGAAAAAAGGAAGAAAGGAACAGAGGAATAGAGGAAAGGAAGGAAGGAAAAGGAAAACTCTTGTAACAAATAAGAATTGTCAAGCAAAACAAATTCCTGCATTGGCCATAGCAAAAAATGTGTTTCATTCTGCACATTTAGACCATCAACTCTCTGTCAGGAAGCAGGCAGCATTCTTCCTCAACAGTCCTCTGGAATCACGGTGGGTTGGATTTCCATTTTTTATTTATTTATTTTTAGTCAGATTTCTTAAGTCTTTCAAAGTTGTTGGGTTTTGTGGCATTGATGTTATAATACAAATAGTTCTGACTCTGCTCATTTACCTTTACCTCAGCTCACACAAGGCTTCTTAGGTTTCTTTGGAACTATCTCATGTTATTTCTTATAGCATAATAGCATTCCATGCACTAATTTGTTCAGCCACTTCCAAAAGCTTAGTTTTTAGCTCTTTGCTACTACAAAAAGTTGTTACTAATATTTTTTGGGCAAATAGATCCTTTTCCTCTTTCTTTGACCTCTTTGAGGTTTAAGCCTAGTAGTGGCATCTCTGGGTCAAAGGAATAGTAACAGTTTAGTAACTTTTGAGGCATAGTTGTGCTCTCTTGAATTATTTATTTTTTTGTTTTTTGATGAACAAAAATTCACCTTCTTTCCCTCCCTCTTCTCCATTAAAAAATGAAAGAAAAACAAAACCCTTTAGCAAATATTTATAGTCAAGCAAAAAAATTTCCACATTGGCCATATCCAAAAAATGTATGAGTCTCAAGCGGCACCCTGAATCTATCACCACTCCATCTGGGAGGAGTTAGTATGTTTCATACTGAGTCCTATGGCATTGAGTTGATCAGAGTTTCCCTGTCTCTTGTCTTTCCCTATTGAGTGAAATATATTTCTGCATCCAACTGTGTGTGTATTTTTGACTAGTTCAAATGAAAGGGAATTTCAAGTGTTGCCTGCTCCCTTCACTCCTTTCACTCATTTTATAGTCTTCTCTTTGCGCATCTAAATTATAAGATAATTTCCCTCACTCTTCTTCTCCCTCCACTTCTCCCACCCTTTGTTGTTGGACCCGAGTTATCAGACTCCCTGGTGCCTAGAAAAATGCAATGGCTTTCCTCAGGGACAATGTATAATCTTAGTGCTGCTTCATGACTTAAAGATAACACCAGATGTCTTGGTATCTTCCCAAAAGTTGAACATATGGTAGATTAATTATAACTTTAACTCGGAGGGAAAGCTAAATTCCTGGGTTCAACTCAAGGGCATAGAAAGGGGTCTTAAGCAGATACAGAATCAATTATAATATTAAATCAGTACAATATAGTATCAATTACAAAGTATACTTAATTTGAATTTCTCAGGGGCAGGTAGGGAGAAACATCTGATATCTCTAATGCTAGACAAGCTAGAGAGATGTTTCCTGGATGAGAGAACAATTAAATGGATTTGGAAGTGGTTGAATGAGCAGCCCCAAAGAATGGTCTTAATAAATTGATATTAACTTAGAAGGAGTTCTAAGTGGGGCAGAATGCCCCATGCTATTCAGTATTTTTTTTTTGTCTAGGAGCTGGATGAAGAACATGCTCATCAAATCTGGAAGTGACAAGAAGTTGGAAGGGATGGCTAATTTATTATATTACAGAGCTAGAATTCTATAACATCTCAACAAGTTAGAAAAATGGATCAGTTAGATGAAATTTAATAGGGTTAAATATAAATCATTAGGTTCAAAACAATCAACTTTGCTGTTGTTGTTGTTGAGGAAGTAATGATTTAATAACTATAAGCAAGACAAAGCAATAGAATTGTGCTTCTTTTGCAGCCTGGAGACAATGAAATGTTTAGCTACAATTTTCCCATACAAACATGAAACAATATTCATATAGAATAATGAATATAGAATATAATCATATAGAATATTCTATATAAAATATAGAATAACACCCTCACAAATGTATAATTGATGGGTGATGAACCACACAAAGTTCGACCAAAGCAAAGCACAAACTGAAAATAATTGGGCAGTTCATATTTTAAATTTAACATGCTTCTTTGTACTTAAAATTAATAAAATTAGGAGCTTAAAAGTTGCTCTTATTTACAGACATTTAAAGAGAAGGTATTTGTCTTTGGAAATAATGACGTCCCTATTAAATTTGAAATTAGTACTGAACCATATATTAAAATGAATTTAGATATAATGCCTTCACCCAGCAATTGGTCAGTTTCTTAACATTTCTACCACATGAAAAAGTAACTTTTTGATGGAAGAAACGTTGCTAGTCAACATTTTTAGGAAAGGTCCAGACTAGCTCTCCTTCATTCTTTGTACTTTGCCACCATGTTCCCTCTACTAATGGCTTTTTCATCTCTCCTTTATGTGCTATCTTCCCCATTAGAAAGTAAGCTCCTTGAGGCCAAGGGCTGTCTTTCTCTTTGCTTCTATTTGTATCCCTGGGACTTAGCATAGAGTCTAACATGCAGTAAGCACTTAATAAATACCTTTTGACTTGCCAATTATTCATGTAAAAAAGATCTTTGGTATTCAGAAAATTAAAAGTCCAATATGAATCACTGATGACACAGAAACCAAAAAATAACCTGATGCAATCTTGGATTGCATTGAGTCATGGTGCCCAGGACTAGGAAGGAGATGGTGCCTCTGCACGCTTCTCTGCTCAGACCGCACCTAGAATACAGTGGTCATTCCAGTGTCCATAAATAAGAGCACATCCAGAAAAGGACAACCAGGATGGTGAAAGGAATAGGACATCTTCAAAGTAGAAGGGCAGGGCAATGACCTGTCCCCAAATGGAACATAATCAACTGGAAGGTGGAAAGATAGGTCACATCTTATCTGCCTATTGTCCCTGTAGGCAGCTGGCTTGTGTCTAACATAACCACATCCACCCTTATCCTCCAAAACTTCTCTCATTTTGGCCCCTCCCACAACTAAGCAAGCCCCCAACCTACCCCCTTCTCAGCCAGGTGTTTTCCCTTCAGGGCATTTATATCCAAGCCACCATCCCAATACCCACAGTGGCAGCTTCAGAGATGCCACTGGAAATTGCCATGTCCTCCCATATCATGTGGTGGCTGTTGCAGGAGCAACCTCAGAAAGTTGGCTTTATGCTCTCGGGCACTGCCTGGTGATTGAGCCCTACCTCACCTTTTCTGTCTTTTGTGGGTTGGAGTGATTCTCACTCGATGATGAGGCACGAATAGGTTGTTGCTTGCAGCTCAGATTTCATAATATCATCTTTGCCACTCCCCCCCACCCCCAATCAATCTTCCTTCTTTCTGTCAAGGGAAGTACTGCCTTTCAGTCGCCCAGATTTATAACCTCAGTGTCATCTTTGACTTCTTACTCCCACACACTCACATACTCACAAACTCCACCCAAGTGCAGGCCCTCATCACCTCTTGACTAGATTTTATTAGAAGCCCCCTAATTGGCCTCCCAAGTCTTTCCCCTTTCCATCCATTTTACAGCTTCTAATGTGATTTTCCTAAAGAACAGGTCTGATTCTGCCATTCCCCAATCAATCAGTTCCAGTGTCTCCCACTGACTACAGGATCAAATATTATTTCATTTTTATCTCATCCATTTTTTGTTTTTGTGACAGTTTATCCATATTATAATATCTACATATTATAACCCATATAATAATATCCATAATTATTAGTATAATAATATAAGCATATAATATAAATTAATTAATATACATATGTTGGGTGTATGTGACGAAAAAAAAATTTGCCAATAAGGGTATGTGACCAGAAAAGTTTAGGGACCATTACATTCACATGGTGTTCAGAAATAAGGAGTGATGGCTTGAACCTGGGCCTTTGGCTGACATTTCCACCTTGCATTTCTTTGCTTGATTGTGGGTAACTAAACATTGATTTTGAGATGGACCTTCTGAGAGTGGCTATCTCAGTGCCTCAGGAATTCTTGGGACCTTGCAATAATTTCAGTGTTTCTTGGAAAAGATGACCACTAGCCAGAGAATGAATTCAATCCCTGGTCTGGCATGCCAGAAGATGTGAACCTAGAGGGAATTGTTTGGACAATGCAGAGCCAAGATGAAATATGGATTCCACTTCAGCAGTCATGCAAACTGTTCTATGTTCTGATGTTTAGGTCCCAATCTCCTAGGAAAATATAATAGTAGTTATAAATTAGTGCTTTTTGTTTAAGTCTTTCTGTCAAGGTGTGTTTCTTAGTGTTTAGCACTTTGTATGTGTGTGGAGGAAATTGATTTACATTGTATACTCTGTACTCCCTTTGTCTTCCCAGCTCCCCCTTTTCCCATTCTTTTGTGAGCCATAGGACAAACCATGAGCCAAATCCAAGCTCTTTCTTCTCCTCTCCCCTTCCCTCCCCTCCTTTCGCCTCCCCTTCCCTCCCCTCCTCTTTAACCTGATCCATTTTTTTGACTTGGACTGGTTTGCTCCTCCTTAAATAGCCTCCCTGTGTTGGTGCTTGACTTAGCGATACCATATTGGCTTAGCCCACTGCAGCTCAGAAATCCTGAGCTCGAGTGATGCACTAGCCTTGGCTTCCTAGTGGGAAGGATTACTAGTTGACCAAACCTAAATTTAAGTAATTTCCCCACAACTCTTAAGTGAGAGCTTAAGAACCAGACAGTATAAGGAGACCCTTCTTTTTAGAGGTAATGCTCTCCTAAGACTGAACATGGGCTAAGAATGCTTGGTACCAGAGATGAAAGGGACCCTTTTAGTAGAGGACAGTGTAAGTAATCCAGGTCCTCTGAAAAGGTGGTTGTTTATTGGTACATAAAGATGAAGGATCTGAGGCTCAGAGATATTAAGCCCAGGATTTCTAGCATGCCAACATACTCAAAAGGGACATGAAAATGACATGCAAATGACTTAATTTACCACCACACTGGGAAATGTTCCAGTTCCTTTGGACTGGACTCCATCATGTCCCCAGGATCCTTTTCATCAGCAAACTCACCATCTTTTGAGATTGCTTTATCGATGGTACTCACACTTCATCAGTAATCTCAATTGGATTAATTGATTAATTAATTAATTGGAGAGCTAGAAGATGAAGCAAAGAACTCCTCCCAAAGCTTCCATTTAAAGAAAGCTCCCAAGCCAGCCATCTCCTCTTCATTTCCTGTCCAATTGTACTCCTTTGGACTGGATTCCATCATGTCCACACCAGACCCTTCTCTCCCCTTTTAGCTTTCTTTTGTGTATTGTCTTCCCCCTCTGGATTGTATGCTCCTTGAGGGCAGAGACTGTTTTACTTTCTTTTTCATATCTGTATTCCCAGCAATTAGCGCATTGCCTATTACAGAGAAGGTGCTTAATAAATGTTTATTGACTGACTTACTGATTGTCAGTTTGAGACCATACTGATATCACCTTACAACTGCACAGTACTCTACAATGTCTGGATTGCTTTGATGCCATTGATCCTGTTATTACCATCATCACACAATTATTAAAAAGAACATTAATTATATGCCACTTATGAGGTTTCCGAAAACACTTTCACCACAGCAACCATGTGAAGTAGGAAGTACAAGTTTTATTATTCCTATTTTACACAGAGAAGGAACCTAAGGCTCAAAGGGAATAAATAACTAATTAATAGTTTGTAAATGTGAGGCTGGCACTTCAACTCAGGTTTCCTAACTCTGTATTCAGAAGTGATCATCAACACAGCCCTGTGAGAGAAGGACATCACTCCTTCTTTCCCTTGGCAGCTTTCAAACAAGGAGGAAGGAGAGCTATTATAAGCCTCTGGGTGGAAAGAGGGGTGGTAGCAGCCTTTATCTCCTCACCTGGGGCTCCATGTGGCCTTAGACACATGGCACTGCTATTCCCAATGAGGTATTTTACATTTTCATCTATTTTTTTAAATCTGTTTTTTCATTTTTTTTTCTGTGACTGATTCTTGCTCTCTCATACAGTCATTAGTTTCCATTTGTGCAATTCTAGTTTTTAACAGATTGTTTTCTTCTGTTAGTTTTTGTACTTCCTTCTTCAATTGACCAATTGTGTTTTTTAGGGACTTGTTTTCTTCAGTGTATTTTTTTTCCAATTGGCCAATTGTATTTTTTAAGGACTCTTCTACGGTCTCTCATTAGACTTTTGAAGTCCTTCTTGAGCTCTTCTAAGAAGGCTTTTTGGGCTTCAGACCAGTTCATATTCCCTTTTGTTGTTGCAGATGAGGGTTTGTTGACAATGTTGTCCTCTTCAGAATTTCTGTTTTGATCTTTACTTTTCTCATAATATGAATCTATGGTACTTTTCCTTTTACTCATGGTGTTTCTTTATTCCCTGGCCTTTAAAGAGATTGAGCTCTCCTGCTGGGGAACAGAGGGCACTGACCCAAGCTTCTTGTGTTGGGAGCCCAGGTCTTGGTCACTGGCTTTGCGTGCTGGGGCCTCTTATGTTGGCGATTGGAGGCTGTAGGGTTCTGGCAGCTTACCTCCTGTTAGGCTGGAATCAGCAAGGCTGGAACTTTCAGGCAATTCTAGGTTACCTGTTTTTCCTTTCCTTTAGCTTTCTTCAGCTCCTTTTAGATGGGTGCTACAGGGTGTTTATCTGCCTGGGGCCCCTTGCAGTACTGCCTCCCTCGTTTCTGCTAATACACTGGGAGATTCCTTTGCAGTAGAGTGCCGAGGCACCTGGTGGTTTTCTGAGCAGGTTTTCACTGGTTCCCCCCACCCCCACCCTCACTGAGGCACTCGGAGGTCCAGGTGTTGGTGTTTGCCTGGTCCACCACCTGGGCTTCAGGGGTCTCTTCCTGGTTGACAGTTGGAGGCTGTAGGGTTCTGACAGCTTACCTGATGTTGAGTTGGAATCAGCAAGTCTGGGACTTTAGGAAGACTCTAGGTTGCTTTCTTCAGCTTCTTTCAGATGAATGCTGCAGAGTGCTTATCCACCTGAGGCCCTTTATAGTGTTTTTTCCCTTATTTTTACTGAGGCTCTGGGAGACCTGCTTGCTGGGCTGCTGCACTGCTGCTCCCCATCTTTCTTCTAGTTCAGTTGTTCCAGGGTTTTTTTTCCTGGGGTGATATTTTCTGGATTTTCAGAGGTTGATAGGGGAGGGTGAGAGTGACTGCCTTTTTACTCCACCATCTTGGCTCCTGGAAGCTGAAGTCTTGCTATTTCCGCAGTTGCTTTTGTCATTTGACTTTCCTGATGTTAGGTGAATGAGAATCAGGAGCAGAACAGACCAGATCCTGACTTCGTGAGCTTCAAAAGGTTGAAGGGGCCAACAGAAGTCCAATGACTGGAGGGAGTGCAAGACCCATCTCTCTCAAGCTAGGTGAGGAGTCAGCATAGCCCTGAAGAACAATCTGCTTGACACAACCTAGCAGCAAATTGACCCAGCCCCTAAGACGTCATATCCTGCAATCAAGACATCCACTCATCCATCGGTTATGCCTCCCAAAGAAGTAATTTTGGTGGGAGGAAATGTTGTTAGAAACCATTTTAAGTTTGAGCCTATTCTCTCAAGGAATGAGGTGTAGAGTGGTGAGAGTATTCAGGGAAGTATTTTCAATCAATAAATGTTTATTAAGTGCCTTCTAGTCCAGTGTAATCACATTAGCCTGGCAGGTGTCTGTGAGGCCTGACTCAAAGTCATAGAAAAAGAAATTAGAAGCTACCTTTGGTCAAGTTGAGCCCTAGCTTCAGAAGCCTGAGATAATTGGAAAGGAGAAGAAATAAGTTCACTTTTCCAAGAACCAGTCCCAGGTGCAAAGGAACTGCTCTCTGACGAACACAAACTCTTTTTCTAGCCCCTAAAGAGTTTCAGAGAGATCCTTTCATCTCCCTTGGAGGGAAATGTTTATCAACTCTCTTGTTAGGTCTTCAAGAGAAAATCCTATCTGGCCATGGGATCAGATAGAAGGAGATAGTGGGGAGGGCCTAAGGAAACTATATCTTCACCACAGACCACATTCAGCCCACATACCTGGAGGAGCAGGTCCGTTAAGTTGGGGAAGAAAGGAAAATGAAAAAGATAAAAGCACTTAACATGGTGCCTGACACAAAGCAGGTGCGATATAAATGCTCGTTTCCTACTTTCCTTTGTTCATCCTTCGTTTTTTGAAGAGGACCAATGAGATTGGGAAAATGATGTCTTGACTTGCAAGTGAATTGGATTTAAGTGAGGCAGAGCTGGGCAAAGTCAACAGCCCACTCTCTCCTCCAGAGTCATAGGAGTCCAGTGGCAAG